GTTACCATGGAGATGTTGGTGACTCTGGGCCACTTGGTGACAACGGAGCAAAGGTCTGTGTGCAACCAAAACTGCGATCTGTCTCGTCTCTAACACGTTTTTACGACAGGAAAGGTCTCCACCTCCAGCGGGAAAAGCATTCCACCATTTTCTGCATGTTTTAACTGTTGCAAATATGTATTAGTAGATTTTTAGTATTGTATGTTTGTTTGTTTGTTTGTTTGTTTAGGGTGACGGAGGACTTCCTGGAAAGTCAGGTCCCTCTGGCCCTAGTGGAGACCAAGGACCAAAGGTACACTTTAAATTTAACACAAGAGAAAACACAGTCAGAAAAAAATGAAAATGTTCCTGAACTGCAAAACAAACCCTGATATCTATGTGTGTCAGGGTGAAGACGGAAATGCTGGAAATCCAGGGCTGCCTGGAGAAAAGGGACCTTCGGTACAGAACAAGTTTTCTTTTTGTGATCATTACTTGAAGGATATATAACTGTAAGTTAATGTTACAAAGCTGAGTCTGATATAAAACCACCATCTCTTGCAGGGGCCTCCTGGAACACGTGGACCAAGAGGCGAAGGGGTATCTCAACAACCAAAATATACATTATTATAAAAATGTACCCTAGTTGGTTTTAATAATCATCAAATAAATATTAACAGGCAAGGAGAGGAGAATCTGGAAAAAAAGGAGGGCCGGGTAATGATGGGCTAAAGGGAGAGAAGGTAAGTCCAGCGCCCAGAAAAAAAAAAAAATCTTAAACCAACCTCGTAAAGCTGCAAAAATGTAAAATCTATAAATATTCCTCTGAAATATGACTTAATTAAATGTAATAAAGTTCAAACTAAGAGTAGCATGCTTGAAAAGAAACATGCAAAGAAGAACATGGTGGGAAAAAATGAACCATTAACAAAACAACGGATCTGTGTGAACTTTACAAGAGAATTCAACTCCCACAAGTTTCAAATCCCTCTGCAGGGATTTGGTCTAGTCCAGATAACGTTGCTAAACACTTCCTTGTCCTGTTTGATGTTGTTTTGGGGCTTTTTCTAACCAAGTTCTCAGGAAAATTCCTCCCACATTCTGCAGATATAGAATTAATGGCTCTCGGTTGCATATTTTTAACATTACTTGATGATTAATGTTTCATTGTAAATCCTGACTCAATCATTTACTTATTCAGAGCGACTTAGGGCCAGAGGGACTTAGAGGCCGGCCAGGAGAAGATGGACTAACGGGTGCAAAGGTGAGGGGATTGTGCTGTGGGCGGATTCTGGCAGACGGATGACTCAGCAGCTCCCTAAGAAATCTGCAAGTCTTCCTCAGACCATCAATACTGAACTGAATGTCCTGACTGTGCTGCCAAAAAAAGGCTGAGTGAAGACTGTTATTTTAACAACAGGTTTTTTCTGGTATTTTTGTTTTTTTACAAGCGTTTTTAAAAGAAAGTAGTGTGCATTGCCAAATTCACATCAACATAACTAGGTCAGTTTTTCTCTGGAGTCGAGGTGACGCCCAGTGATGAAGTTTTCTTTCCCTTCCAGGGAGATCTAGGGCTCCCAGGACCGAGGGGTCAGCCCGGAGAAACAGGCAGCCCCGGAGGAAACGTATGTTGTTTGTACCCTCATCATCAATACTGCTCATTTTTGGAGCTTGAGTTTTGAAAACATATCTTTTTTTTCTGTACATTTCAGGGCAGCCTTGGAAATCAAGGAGATCTAGGACCAAGGGGAGACTCTGGGCCCCCTGGACCAAAAGTAGGTAACAATATTCTGTTCCTCACTTTCAATATGGCATCTTTTAAAATGCGCTAACATTTTTTGAATGATATATTTCTTTTAAAGGGTGACAACGGAAGAACAGGATTCAACTACCCTGGATCGAGAGGATCCACTGTACGGTTTTCTGTTTACCACACACAATATTCTTGCATATGTTGCTGAATCTAAAGTACCTCTGATCTTTCCAGGGAGACAGAGGGGATCCCGGTAGAAGAGGACCCAGGGGGGGAAGAGGTGATTGTGGGGCCAAAGGAGAACTTGGAAACAAAGGAACACCAGGAGGGCCTGTAAGATTGATAACTTAAAAAGTTGAATTTGATAGTTAGAAAAGACAACATTAAAACATGCGATGCTTAAGTTTACTCACTCAATATTGTACCAGGTGCAGTTTCTCCTTTGGAAACACACCAACAGTGTGGGATGCATTAGGATGTTTTGTTAAGCAATAACGTGCCTAGAGTACATGGAGGCTGGAACACTTTGAAAACACATTACATTAATGTTATGAGGAACATTCTACTAATCTTCTGAAGAAAAATGTAGTATTGGCTTTAATCAGATGCAGACATTAATGAAACATATTACTTAAGAAAAATGAGTCACCTTCATTTGAAAATGTTTTCTGTGTAGGCGGACCCAGGTCAGCCGGGTGAGCCAGGAAAGAGAGGACCCATAGGAAACCCTGGATCTGATGTAAACACCAGCACAAACACTCAAATAATGACTTGACCATGCGTGCAAATTTGAGCTCCAATTGCACTTTCTCTCTCTTTGTGTAGGGCGACCAAGGACCAGTGGGCGATCCTGGGCTCAATGTGAGTCAACTTTAAAAAAGCCACACCGTTTTCAAAATCCGTAAATACTTAGATTTGCCTGGTTGTATCTAACATGCACACCTGTCACCACAGGAATGCGATGTCATGACTTACATCAGGGAGACGTGTGGTTGTTGTGGTAAATATCTCCACCGATCAAACACAGCTACATCGTTTCATTTCTTTTGAATTACTGACCCTGTTCTTGTGTTTTGTCTCAGACTGTGAGAAGCAGTGTGGACCTCTGGACATTGTATTTATAATTGATAGCTCAGAGAGTGTGGGGCTGACAAACTTCACCTTGGAAAAGAACTTTGTTATCAACACCATCAACAGGCTGGGATCTATGGCAAACGATCCTGCGTCATTAACCGGTACAGTGAAGCAAAACCGCAGCCCAGACCACCCTGCAAATCTCTCCGCACACACATTTTCAAGTGTCAAGAAGTAGAGTTTGCCATTAAAGATGAACCGTTTCCAAAGAATGAGTCACCAAATCCAAATTCAATATACATATTGGGTTGAATACAAAATTACAGTAACCCTCTTTGGCACTACACCCGTTTTTGACAGTACCGGCAGACTGTGATTGTCAGATTTATACATTTTCAGCCATCTAAAGTGTAACTAGTTAATTTTCTTGTGATTTGTTGAGAGTAACAACTAATAGAGCAAAGCCAGCTTGATCTGCACCACTTGACTTGTCTCCCTCTTTCAGGCACAAGAGTCGGAGTTGTACAATTCAGTCACAACGGGACCTTTGAAGCCATTCGTCTCAATGACCCCAAAATCAACTCCATGTCTGCTTTTAAAACAGCAGTGAAGAACCTAGAGTGGATTGCCGGGGGCACCTTCACACCCTCAGCCCTCAAGTTCGCCTACGACAACCTCATCAGGGACGGCAAGCGAGCCCAGGCCAAAGTATCTGTGGTGGTGATCACAGATGGCCGCTATGACCCGCGCGACAATGAGAATCTGCTGCAGTACCTTTGCAACGATGACGATGTGGTGGTGAATGCGATTGGGGTTGGTGATATGTTTGAGAAGACACAGGATAATGAGATCCTGGGGTCGATTGCTTGCAACAAGAAGGAACGCGTCACTGGGATGAGGCGTTACGCTGACTTGGTGGCTGAGGACTTTATACAGACGATGGAGGCTGTGCTTTGTCCCAGTAAGTCCTGTACCCTTACACACAGCAGAATGACAATAGAGTTGAAGCCCATTGTTAGCAGCCCCCGTTTGGCACATTGAAGTTTCAGACATTCTCAAGTGCGATATTTCATGACATATCCCTTAAGCTTGTGTAAACCATGGACCTTATTCTTAGGTATCTAACCAAAAAGCCCATTAAAAATGTTTGACTTTGAGACAAGCGAATAGAAGTCCTAAAATGCTTACTTCCATGTTTAATGATTTGTTTCTGCACCAAGTATACAGGTTCTGCTTACCCGTTTTCTAATCTAAATCCATTTATTTCACTTCTAGATCCTGTGGTTGTGTGCCCTGATCTTCCCTGTAAAAGCGGTAGGTGTTATTCACGGCTAGATGATTTGTTAATGGTACAATGGATTGCAGCTCAGTGATTTATTCATTTTATTTATTTGCAGAACCTGATGTAGCTCCGTGTCTCCAGCGACCAGTGGATCTGGTATTTTTACTGGATGGCTCAGAGCGCCTGGGGAAGGAGAACTTCCGGTATGTCCGTCAATTTCTGCAAAAGGTGGCAGACCGACTGAGTCTGGCTGCTAGCAGGACTGATCGAATGCGAGCTCGCTTGGCACTGATAGAGTTTGGTAAGGAGAACGAGAACCTCGAGGCCTTCCCTCTCACACACGACCCTACTGTTATCGCCACTGGCATAGCACTCTTGCAATATATGGATTCTTCTTCAAGCGTAGGGCCGGCCATCATCCACACCATCAACACAGTCTTGGGTAAAAGAAATGCTCGCCTGACAAGACGCCACGCAGAGGTTTCATTTGTTTTCATCACAGATGGCGTCACTGACAGCAAAAACCTGGACGAGGCAGTCAGTGCCATGCGCGGGTCACAGGTGGTCTCCACAGTGGTAACCACAAGAAGTGACGTTGACCAAAAAGTCCTAATGAAGCTGGCCATGGACGACCGGGACGCCATCTTTAAAGTAAAAGACTTTGCGGATATGACCCAGTCCAGTTTGTTTGACCGTTTCGTCCAGTGGGTGTGTTAAAGAGCGGCCACTAGTCATACTGGTGCTATTGCTGTTTATCTAGCATTTTAATATAAGATACTGGTTTACTGCGATTCTACTTTGCACTTTTCAATTAGCAAATGACAACATGCCATTGTGCTTTACTACATTTGTCAGGAAAACTGTATTAATTTGCAATGGTTTGTTGTATATTTTGAAAAAATTACACAAGTGGAGCATTCATCATCAGCGATTAAGCTTTAAGATATTAACCCAGCAGCTTATTGGATAAGACAGTGCTCTCTTATATAAAGTCACAAAGGGTTTGAAGTGCAAATAAAATCTTGAGATTTTAAACATTCATTGTTCCGACATTACTGATGATTAACATTGAAATTAGAACTCAGTATAAAATAATTTTAAGACAAACACATGTAAAGCCCTCAACAAACAGTTATTCTTATTAATTTCAGTTTAGTTCAACACAGTTCTGCATTCAGTATCACCAGTTATACGTCAGGGGTCCCCAAGTTGGAGCAGAACAATGGACGGCTGAATTGGATTGGTCTATCCGAAATGAATGATGCATTCTTCTCGTTTCCCTGCATGTCCGCTGCAGACCTTCCCTATTTTTTTACATCATGTCCAGCTGTGTAGGAAGAGAAAAAAAAAAGTAAGACTGGAGAGTTTATATAAAACGTTTCAACAGGCCATCCTTCCACACAGGAAATGGTTCTAACGTGGGTTTTGGGCACTGCAGTTAAATATTTAAAACCTGAAAAGTCAGAATTAAACAACAATCAAACTTGCCAAGTCATCAACATCTCCAGTATCTTCAGCAGGAGGTGCAGCTGCCTCTTCCTTCTTCTCCTCAGTAACCAGAAACTGAGGACAAAATAAGCTTCAGTTAGTAGGACGGCCACCATTTTGAATATGTAAAAAAGGGTTTGTTTACTCAACACCTCACAATGGTTTAAATCGAGGAGTCACCTGATTAGATTCACTTTTGGACACAGTGCTTCCTTCAACCTCGTCCTTGCTGATCAGTGTTATGGCATCTGCCAATCAAAAGCAAGAATTAAGTCAAATACATCAAGCCACTTTTAAAAAACTTGATATTCAAGCTCATTTTAAAGCATAAATCAGCTCCAAATTTATATCAGTTGTTTTTGCAGTTTTTAAATTATAGAATTGTCTTTTCACCTCAAGGGAGGAAAGGTTTCACAATAAATCCTGCAGCTGCGAGTAAAGAGGCTTATCATACCTTGAACAAGCAGGTCCCAGAAGACCTCCAGCCCTCGGTTTGGGATGCTTCTTTTCAGGGACTGCAGGTAGCCATTGTACAGACTGGCATCCCCCAGCTGAGTAACCAAAGACATGCATCATTCATGATCTGTTTATGAGTCTCCTAAAAACACAACTCACACAAGAGCTGGCCTCGGCTCAAGTCGCGAGATTTCAACGTACTCATTGTTATCTTCGACAGTTCGCTCATTATCTCCAAAGCAAAAACCAAAACGTTGCGTTCCGATAGGTCAAGATTTGTTCCACACAGACTCTCGTATTAATCATTCATTTCCACAAATGGAAAATAGGGAATGTTTGTTTACCTTAACAGACTGCTCTCTAAAAGCCTCGATGCAGGTGATGCTTTTCATGTAGTAGTGTGTGTTCTTGTTGCCAAGCAACTGCTCTATCCTGTGAGTCAGTTGCTGACAGACTGGGAAGGACACGGGGGTCACCACAGGCAAACAAAAACATAAACACAATTACAAGGGCTGAACTTGAGTCATGGCAGTTTATAATATAAACAGGAACATTTGTTATCAGTCGAGCTCCATCGGGAAAAAAAGACGGAAGAATTTGACCTCACCCTCTCCAAATGAAAGACTCTTCTTCTTGAGCAGAGTCCGGAAGTCTCTGGCTGGATCCACGCTTCCCACCTAGTTAAATGTTGAAAATTACAAAGGACTGAAGTGAAATGGAAATTATAAAGTATGCTGGTTCAAACAAGTGGTGAAGTACTCTTTTAAGAATAGCTGATGTTTTTAAAAGTGGTTGTCTCTCTAGGATTATTATGCAGTCCAGCTCCCTTGATTCTCACCGAAGTAACAGGGCCTTCAGCGATGTTAGCCAGGCTATAATCCTCCTCGTCTTCCTCTTCTTTGGCCTTCTTGGCACCTGGCTCCTCAGAGCTGTAAACGTCCAAAGGGGTCATTATAACTCAGATTAATTAACACTTCACACATCTATTTCATCAGACAGGGGAGGGACGAGTAGTTTAAAGGTTGCAGACTTGCACTCCGTCTAGCAAAAAGTAAATGGAATCTTCCCATTTAATTCAAGCAGTTTGAGTCAGACTAGAGATTGTTTCTATACAGAGTTCTACTTTTCTAGCATTTAGGATAATGTTGATCTTAATAGAATACATTAATGGTATTTAAGCCTTTCTATTGCACAAAGACAATGTAATGTGGTTATGTTGCAGACCCATTTAAGAGGGCTTCTCATTGACAATGGGCTGATAAAGGTCTAACAACACAAATACATGTATTTTCTTTGCAATTTTGACAGTTGGGGCAGTTTGAATAGTGAAAATAGTTGTATAATCTGTAAAACCTTGGCACAGACACTACTGTTTTTGATAATTTGACATAATGAGTAATTTTGAGATCAAATACTTTTCACTCCATGACTAACAGCTCTGTCTGTAACATCAAATACCCACCACCACACTTAATTCAACTTACTCTTTGCCAAATATCTGTGCACTGGTCTTGACCTTCTTCTTCTTCTCCACTTCTGTGAGAGGAAACTTCCTCTTCACCTCCTCGAGTGGAGCCTGGCAGCGTTCAGTAATGATATCAGGGCGCTCGAGAGCAGCCTTCAGCCACGGCTCCATGGGGGGAAGCGGGGTGCCGGGACATACTGCCCGATGATGCACACACTGAAGGAAATGTCGGTAAGGTGGGTGAGACAGACAGTAACTGAGGAAGAATACATCCACATTGAGTATCAACAGCTTCTAGCTGGTGAAGCTCCAGTCAGAGACTTCACATCTTTTGTTGAGGTCATGAAAAAAATGACTTCTCTGTCTCCTTCAAAACTTAACCTCAGAACGAGAAGGTAATAGATGTACTGTATCCCTCCAATACAAAGTGCAGTACCTGGAAGTGCCTCTGGAAGGACGGGTTGGGAATGTTATGGACCTTGTACATATCCTTTTCATCCCCGTTTTCATCCTTCTCAACCAGCATCATGGAGTCAATAAGAGAGTCCACAGCAGACAGCTGGGTGTCTAGGGGAATCACATAACACACACAAATACATTCAAGTCCATTCCTGCATCTCTCACTGAAGTAGTCAAAATTATTTAGATTAAAACATATATGTACACAGTGTCGATCACGTTACACAATGTAACAGCAGTTTTTTCACTCGAAGGGGCAACAATGTCATGTTCAGACCCGCAGGTCTAAATAGGTTAGCTGCTGCTGTGATCATGATAAGAAAGCTCCCTCTTGTGGAGAATCTGCAGTCAGTTTTGTGAGTTATCGGTTAATTCTATGAGGCGTTTAGTACCTGACGGAGTGAACTTTTTGTTGTTTTCAAAGGAAGGGAATGTATACTGTCTCAGGTCTTCCATGAAGGGCAGCTGGATGTACATCAGGCACTATTGAGGGGGAGAGACAGATCATTAGCTCTGTGCTATATGACAGATGAAATAAAAACAGCATGTTTAGGATTCTGTGATGTCACCTCATAGTCCAGCTTGATGCACGGGAAGGCTGCTCCTACTTGAGGGTTGCAGCGTCGGTCATACGCGTAACGTATAATGGCCACCATGTTGAGTTCATCTAGTGCTCGGATGAGAGCGGACAGTGCAACTCCTGCATGCTGCACAACAGTAGGAACACAGACAGGTCAGTATCAACGTGCAGTCACCAGCAACATGTCGGGTCTCTCCATTCTCACCTCATCATCTCTGCCAGGAAAAATCTTGATGACTTGAGTCCCCATGAACTGATGGCGACGTATCTGCAGACAGATGGAAAAAAATAAGTAACCAGTTAAGTATTAAAGTAGGGATTTCCTTATCACTAGTATATTTTAACTGATAAGTATCGGATGTATTGAGTAGGAACCCTAGCCTCTTTTTAGCTTAACAATTTGTGACAGGAAATGTCTAAAATTATACTCAATATTAAAATGACTTAAGATGGGGGAAGAAAGAAACCCTGATAGCAGATCACAGTAGCATAACGTATTATACCATGTTCTGTTTGGCAAATCCGAGAACAGCAAAGCTTTTCCCGTCGTGCTTGTATTTCATATGCTCTTGATCAATTTTGTCGAAGGGAACAATATCACTTCCATAACGAAAACCTGTGGAGAACAAAAACAATGTTTTGGGAATTATTAAGTGATAAGTTCAACATTGAGTTATTTAATTAGAAAATAACTTTCTCACCTTGGATGGTATCCTCCTTTGGCACCTCTGTCTCATTGTCATCATCCAGGCAGTAGACAGTCTCTCTCTTCACGTCGTCCTTCTGATTTGATTGAGCATCGACTGTAGCCCATATCTTCTTCAGTTTCTCTTCTGTCACCTGGAATATGGTAAGTAGTGGTTGCTGATGAGAAAACCTTCATGGGTTTCACTATTACTGACAGGCTGTCATCTGTGTATTTAAATTACTCAAAAGGGAGGTTAAAGAAATGTCAGAGATTCCTTTCAAATTCACTAAGTGAATGAGCAAAACATACATCAAAACTACACATTAACTCATAACAAAACAGTACTATTAAAAATGACAGTCAAAAGATACATACTGGGAAAAACTCAATTTGTATTCATGTTATAATACAAATAAGACAACAATCTTGACATTAATAGCAGTAAGAAATAAGTGGAATACAGGTTGCTACAAGGTCTCACAAAGTAGATTTGTAGATGATAACATGTGGAGTAGCACTTTTCCCAGAAAGGAACTCAATATTTGTACTGTACAGTCAAAGAGCTGTGTAATGCGCATATAGTACATATGTATCCAGTTGTCTTCACTGTAGACTTACTGCTTTGTATCCAACGATACGGATAGACAGACAGCTACCGATGGTCAGTTGACAGGGCCAGGCCATGGGTTTCCTCTCGATGCGCTTGAACATGCACAACTGCTCGATTGCTTTCCTACAGCGTGAATGAAGCACATGGAAAGCCAAGTCATGTGAATTTATCCAAATAGAGATTTACAAATTTTGACGGTAGAGATCACCATGTGGTTCAGAGAGAAAAACATATATATGTAAGACAAGAGAAATATCCATAGACCGTATACACTAGGAAATGTTGTGTGTTTAATATGAGCTAACGGACCTGAAGGAGTAAATTTCAGTCAAGCCGTCCTCCTCATCCAGGCTCAGCATGATGTGTTTCACCATGTCCAGGCCACTCTGCTGTTCCCTGGACAGACCTTTTCCTGTGCCTGGGTGACAGGGGCCTCCTTCGCCAGCATCTCCTCCAACCTCTTCATCTTCCTCCGCAGGGAAGGGCAAACTGAAAATGGTTTGTTACGAGGAAGGATACAATGTTATTAACTACACTCAATGTTCTTTACAAGAGACACATTTAACTTTGAAGGCTTTATCAGAATAGATGTCTGCCATTTTATATAAGTATTGATGAACACAAATACATTATAAATCATCATTATTCTTTAACCTTATTGGTATAATGTTTTGGGTCTATTCATATAATATGTCATTTAAAATGACACATAGTTTGTGGGTCTGAACCTTACAAGAACTGCAGGGTGATGTCGGCTTGTTTCAGGTTTTCAATAATGACATCGAGCTGCTCTGAGCTGGCCTGCGTGTTGAGGTCAGTCAGGAGGACAACGTTGAGACGATCACACTTTTTCCCCCTGAAAAGAAAACCCAACACAATGAAAAACCAACAATGACATCAGCAAAATAAACATTTTAATGGATACACTTTATTTTTTCTTTGAATTGTGAAAACTAAGAATGTGATACAAGGAGCTTCTTACTGTGTTTCTTTCTTTAGGAGATCCATGCACACAACAAGAGCATCCAGCCCTGTAGATCGGAGTGAAGGAGGTAACATATTTTATCACATCATATATAGAATAGCCATTACATTGTGCAACTTCACAATGAAGTAGTATTTCACATTGATGCAACAATCACAAACAAATCCAATAAAACAACAACTAACCTTGGATGCACCTTGGATACAATTAACAAAATCACTATTCAATTTGGTTACACATTAATTACATTCTTCTTTTTTTACTTTTACCTAACATTCTTCAAATGTAAAGTACTATAAGTTGTAGTCTTTATACAGGTTTAATTGTGGGGTTAAAGTACTGAGCAAAAGGATACAATCAGCCTGCTGACTCTCTGGATGGATCTTATTCTCTATTTCCTCCAGAAGCTCAAAGTCAGGCACCATGAGGTGACGATGCACGCTGATGTGCTGGTACTGGTCGTCCTGATCCAGTGAGTTGTTGGTGGAGTCTGTGCCAAACAGAACTAAAGCCAGCTCATCCTTGGTCTCTTTAAAAACCTGTGAAAGACATGTTCATAGTGTGTCAAAGGTGACAGAGATCCTCATGGTATTTGTTCCTCGTTTTAGGAAGACGCGTAGTAAACATTTACCTGGCGCTGGACAAACTTCTGAATGACTTTTTTGGCAAGTTCAAAGGCAGGCTCTTCACCCGGGGCGGAGTTGGACATGGAGAACCCAACATCCATGCACAACACCAACGCTGACTACAGAAAACAAACAATAAAACAACATGTATTTAATTAAAGGCAGAACCTGGTCCTCATTCTGTCAAACCAGTACAGTTGTGTAATGTTTTGTATACAATCAATTGGGGGCGTGACAGCGTTAGCACCAACATTTCTGAACATATCGCCGCCAAACACTGGTCACGCCGTGTAACTTCTGAAGCTCAGAATAAGAGAAAGAATGTTTTTCTTTTGTTTGCAAACCTCCAGAATTTAACAGAAAACACAAGCTAACAACGCTTTACATTACGTTAATAGATTACTTATAGAAAAGAAAGAAAAATGAACTTACTTTGGAACCTGCCATCTTCTTTTTTCCCTCTTCCTAAGACTGCGTGTCACTCTGTTATGGCTCCGGAGAGAAATAGTGAACTACAGGAACAATAACTTAGTTCCGGTTTCCAGGGATACTTGGATAATTGTGCCGCATTCAGATATCAGACAGCACTTTACGAAGTGTTAGAGTTTGTTGGATACTAATGTAAAATCAGTATAGGTGTACTTTTTTAAGAAACATACCGCACTTGTATAAAGTAGATACAGTGTCGTGCTGTTCCCGAGAAGAAGAGTGCAATGAAATGTAATTATAGGATGTAGGTCAAACGCCCTCCAGCGTTGTACATTGCACACTGTAATGTGTGTCCCATAGCATAGTCTGTGCTTATTGTGTTAATAGACTGGTCTGGTACTGGTAGGCAGGATATTATAAATGTTATATCAGTATAAACAACTAAATACATAATAAAGAAATACTAGTAATGCAAATATATATAAAGCAACCTATCATTATTATTCCAGCACCATTTGCACTTTGCAACATTGTACCACTGTGTAACTGTTAAAGTTATATTGTGTTGTTTTTATACACTGTATATTAGTTGCGAAATGTTTATGGTAGTAACATATTTTAGTTAACCTTTGTTTAGTCTTGTTTTAGCTGTATGTCTATTTCTGTGCATGTATGTTTAGAAAAAAACACAACTGGAATCAAATTCCCGGAATGGGCACACGCTTACTTGGGAATTAAAGCTGATCCAAAAAATATGCTATAAATTATACAAATAAAAATAAATAAAATAGAAATAAACAAAATACTCAAAGTCTCCATAAAGCACCTTCTCCCCTCAAACTGTTGAATTATTTTTGATTTTTTTTGTCTTTGTTTATTAAAATGTTTTTCCTACATTAAGGTCTCTAAATGCTGCTTAAACTTTCTTTACACATAATACCTAAACCTCTTCATTTCCAGAACACTTTTTTTTTGGAGGACTTAACAAATTGTTTAAGCTTTAGCTCCCCACAATCAGACTTTAAAACTGGCCTTGTTGGTTCATGTGTGTTTTGGAGCATATGGATTTTCTTTACTTAACATCCCAGTGTAACACCAGGGTGCCAATAATCAGATCTAAAACACCCTGACCCCAGGGAGCTAGCTTCGTCTGTTGTCAGCCATTCAGGGAAATACTGTAAACTGACTGTTTTTCAAGACATTATCAACCTCCCATAAAACATCCCATTGTGTCTTGTTTGTTTTACCCCCAAAATGTCATAAAGTTGTGATGTAATGACATAAGACTTTATTTCATTTGTGTACTTTACTTTGCATTCTGTGGTCTCACAACATGTAACATGGAATAAAGACACAACCACTGATTAATGTCACTGTTTGTTTGAAACAAAATTGAATAATAAAACCAAACAAGGACTGATCATAAATATTTTTTAAAACAAATATTTTAACTATCTGATCAACTTAAACCAACAAAATCTGTTCATGATAACCATTTGCAATACATTTAGTGCCAGAGTATAAAACAAATAGCTAAAACAAAGACAGGAAGTGAGTAGTCTTAAATATATAAAATAAATTAAATCAACATTCAAATGTAACTGGGTGTAAATGTAACATGAACACTGGAAAATTACTTATTTTTTAAGTTGTGTGTGGAACAAAACTGTGAAGACAACACATGTAGTTTAAGATCACACACATCTGTGTTGATGGTGCCTTAAATATATGAAGAATGACAATGAAAACACATGACTACACCAGAGAAATGCCTAATTTGTCAGCTTTTTCTGACTATGGCTTCAAAAAATGGCTGGATTAACCTGCTGTTGATCCCTGTTCTTCTGTCTGTCAGAACACTGTAACACTATGTACTTAATGTGTGCACAAAGCAGCAACATTTAGATGCCCAGACACTAGTATTCGTGTCAGCAACTTGTACAATAAATGTTATTTGCACAATAGAAACAGGAAGAAGCACAAAGAAACAGGAAGAGGATGCATCTCTCTTTTTCCTGGTAGCTATCCCAAGTTACCAAAGACTTTGCGGTCACTATCCCAAATAACGGAACTAGCGGAACCACAGTAACTAAAGGAAATGCTAGTGAGGGTAAAGGGAAAAGTTGTCATGTTTCCCCCGGTGCTCATTATTTCAACAATATTGTTGTGGATGGTGCATACACCCAGATCAATCAGTAATAAAACACATTTAATAAAGCAAGTTCTGAACCCATTGTTTCCTGTTAGTAATCCAGCCTTACTTCAAATACAAATTCACAGATTATGATGACTTTACATACAAGCATTTGAAATGCATCCAGTGTTTTACATCAGTGCGCAGCTCTGTGAGCACATACATTTAATTACAGATATTTACAGATGAAGTGGAACTTGGTGGAACTTTCAGGCCTCCAACAACATATGGAGCAGTGAACAAGGTGAGATTACCCAAACTTCACTACAGGAGGCACTGAGGCCTTAAAATATCAAAAAGTTATAAGAAGGATAAAGTTGTTGGAGGATAACCATAACAACTTAAAAATAACAAAAATTACCACTCGCATGCTTAGAGGAATAATTTATAGTGGCCTGGATCCCATGATGCATAATAGATCTGAATTTTGGAACTATTCAGGTAGTCTTTGATCATCAATTACAGAAAAGCTTTCAAGTACTTCCCCATAAGCGACTCTAACTTTCTTGCGTATCACTTGGATTTAGGCCTACTCCTATATGTGCCTTGCACCTCAGCATACCACCACTTCACACTGATGAGGTCTGGGCGAGTTCACTGGGGGCCTTGCTATGCAGAGTGCCACAAACAGTATCAGAGTCAATAAGCTCTACTATGCTGTAGGGGGAACAGTCCTCCAGTCCCAGCTTCCCACAGGCCCAGCCACAGAAACCTTTCTCCATATCTCTGACATCCTGCCACCACTCACTGAAGGCCCAGGACACCTGCACCACGGCAGAGTACAGAGCCAGGGACAGCGCCATGGGCATGATGAGCATGGGGTAGAAGATGATGAGGAAGGGGCATATTGTAATCTTGTGCCAGAACGTCCGCTCCTCATTGTACACCAGGAAGACATTGTACCAGGTAAGAGTGCCGTAGTAAAAGGAAGTGATGAAGGAGAGGAGGAAAATCACAGGAGCGCAGGAGAGGCTCCACAGGACGACATGGGGTCCCTGACACACGCCTAAGCCGCAGTTGCGTTTGTAGCCTTCCCCTGCCTCACATTCTGCGTCGAGACGTTCCTTTGACTTAGCCAGATCCCTGATTTCCTTCTTTGTCAAAGTGAGGTGAATGTCCACCAGCTGACCCTTCTTCTTTCCTCGGGTGATGGTGCCTGTTAGGGTCACGTAGCGGCTGTCTGGAGGAAGGCTCCACCCTTCTTCTGTTAAGAGATTATGAAACAAGAGACAGTTACCTTTATCACAAACAGCTAAATGAAAAGCCAACAAGAAGAACATGTGGTAAACTCACATTCTTGCTCTTCAGCTGTAACCATCATTTATATAGGTCAATTCACAACATACGCCTAACCTTTCCCTGCCGCAATTTTCCGGTCTAAGAGTTTGAAGTAATGCTTCAAGTGTGTGGGGGTATGAGTGTATATTTATGATCATTCCAATTAGCTAAATGGATGTTGCAGGGAAAGTGGCCTACAAGAAAGAGGCATGGATACAAGCATGTGCTTTTGACGCAGCCTTAGTCTTTTTTCCCTGTCAAATTATGTTATCCTTAAAATGGCCATATGCTAATAACAAATACATCAATTATTCTTTCGTTTTATTATGTAGTCAATATGCATGGTGTAAATTGCACAGTAGACTGTATGTCAAACACACCACCTAACTTTCCTTCTGTGATAATAATGGCACTTCTTGATATTGAAAGACAAGTCTCTCACCTTCTCCTGTAGGTGTGCAGAGGAATTTGGCTCCCTCCTCCGTGCTCCTTTCTGCTCCCTCCTCACTGCCTTGGTCCTCTCCAGAGCCCCTCTCCATTTCAGAGTGGTAAACAATAATGGACTCTGGACGCTGGTCTTTCTTCTTCCTCCTCTTCCTCCTTATGTGGGCTCCCACTTCTCCATCGGCCACATGGTTCCCTGACATCTCTGATCTTAAGGAGATCATCTGGGAGCTGCCTTCTCCCTCAGTTTGGGGCTCCTCTAGCTGGGCCATGCTCTCCTCTGATCCTGTAAGACTCTTCGGCTACTTTATGATGGGCTATATATGAAGACTAATATTGAAGATCTGAGCAGCACAGACTACTCATTATGTTCAAAAGTTAAATCTAGGGAAGATTTCAGGCTGGATGAAAAAGCACAAACACACACACACAAACAGAGAGAGAGGCATTAAAGAACAGCCATGGTTTTTTACTGTCACAATAATACACTCCTCTATGTAGAGTGAGCCTGGCCTAGATTCTGCAGAGGCGTTTTTTACACATATACCAAATATACAAAATCTCACATTATCTTTGATATGGAATTATACATATAGAACCAGACAGACGAAATACAGATAACAAACGAGGCGTAAATGAATTCTTCAAATGGGGGTTGTCATTCTTTTGCATGCCAGGACAACGATATCCTACTCTGAGTAAATGTACCGCGAGCTTGATCTGTTTACACCATCCTGTTTCCTTTACAGACAAAATGAAAAAGTACACAATTAATTGACGGATGGAGTTGTTTTCGAGACAAATGCTTAATTTCATTGGTGGGGGTGGAATCGAAAAAACAACCCATTCTTCAGACAGCTGATCCCTTCCCATTTAAATCCCACCCATGTCCGCTCTTTTGTCTGCAGAGTGCCGACGCCAGCCGGCGAACAGCATGTAATCTAAATAGAAGTGCAATTCAAATGTAATCTTCTTACCTTTAAAATGTTAGACAAGAGCCGGGTAAATAAACTTAACCGTGTGTGGATAAATCACTGGAAGACCCCACACATCACAAGGCTGTATTTTTGCCGATACACATCATACAGATGCGCTACGCAAAAATGATTTCCAGAATAGCACTAAACCCGCCCCTCCAGCCTCCAGCCCTCTATCCCACCAATCCTGATCCGTGATCCTCCTGATTGACATCATGTGGAAAATGATGGAGGAAAAGCATAGTGAAAGCACTATTTTAAGCACCGTATGTATGCCCTTAAAACGTTGGAAATAATAACCCACAAAATGAATAGATTACAAATAATCTTATATAATAACCTATTGTACACACTATGAATTTGTATTGCGTCAGTTTAAAAACGTTAGCCTATGAATACTTGTATAATGCAACACAACATACTAGGCCATAGGCTTGGCTTAATACATGTTTTGGGTACAAAATATATATTAAAATATATTAAGAAATGTATAGCAGTATCGCTATGGTGGTCACTAACTTTCACTTAAAGCAAAATGTACAATACATTGTTAATGAAGTGTTTTAAAAAAAAGCCATGGGCAATTGTATGATGGCCCGAAAACGTTTGCTAGCTTAAATGTCCACTCCAAAGCTAACTAAAGGTAGCCAGCTTAACTTGAATGACACAGTATCTTTAGGTTCGCTTAGTAGGCCTACATTATTTTAAATCTGGCTTCCCAAACCGATCTTAACTGTAATAGAGGCCACAGAATGAATGTATGGTATTTTCCTCAACGACCAAGTTATTTAAAACTTTGTATTTTACTTGGAAGGAGCTCAAAGAACCGTGCGCAGCTTCAGTCTCCTAACGTCTGAGCCGTTGACAGCAGCAGCCCGCCCCGCGTGAGCTAACGTCGCTAATATTAGCCTGGTGTCAAAATGAACGACCAATATTCACTTAATAATATTGACAGCCTCCTCTTTCAGTTCGGTGAGTTTACATTTTAACTTAATTGTATGTTAAAAGTTGTGGTTTTGTTTTCAAATGATGTCATTAGCATGGCATGCAAGTTTAAAGTTATCTAATGCTAGCTGCTTTGCTAATGGATTTCACTAGAAAGCCAGTTTTGGTGTTGGGCTTTTAATAAACCGGAGCAAATTCAATCGAAGTGATAATTACAATTATTCATAATAATACTGAAAAGGATAATTGTCATTTTTAAATAAGGTCACTATTGTTTGTATTTTATAGCTCTTCAAACTCGGGAGCTTTCCCAAAAGAAGAATGACATCGAACAACAAATTAAAGGTAAGGTTAATGATAACAAATAAACTCTTAGTTTACAATATAGTGTATGTTTTGAAATTGTATCTTTGAAGTGCTTACATTTTTGTGAACAGTTTGCAGAGCTGACACTGCTGAGAGGAGGTCTTGCATTCAAACAATCCACAGTGAAATCCAGAAACTTGAGGAGGGAATCAGGGTGAAGCAGAGCACTGTGATACACAATAAGGCTAATGCTAAAAGGTATGATGTTGACTAGGTAATGCATGAGACAAACTATGATGAACCAAGTTGATACTTAACCAAAATGTACATATAACTTATTATTATTATTATTAGCAGTGCGGGGAAGTGTGGATATAATATATTTCTGATTGTCATCCATGTAACTTTAGCATGAAGGCAACCAACAGCCTGCTTCTTCAGTATGAGCAGTCACTCAAAACAGAACTGGAGAACGGAAAAGACAGCTATAACCGTGACATGTGGGTTCAGTTAACTATGTTGTTTGCATTTAATTTATTTTTTGGGGTGCCATAATAAACCAAGCTGAATTGTTCTTTATTTGTATCCCAAAAAGAGAAGTCTACGAACAGAGAATTGCAAGTTACAGGAAGATATTCCAGTCACACAAAGAATATTATTGCCAAAATCCTCTTGCTCAAATACTCCTTGGGCTGCGGGCTGAAAAAGAAGAGATTGAGTCTAGGATCATGGCTTGTGATGATCAAATAACAATGAAACAGAAGCAGCTGGACCATCTCACTGGTAATACACTTTTAATAGCATAACTTGCTCTGGTAAGATATATTTACAGCTCCTGATACTGTTAATTGAATTTCTGCCTGACCAGGTCCAGTAATTTATTCTTCTTCCCCGGAGAAATTACCAGACAGGTATCTTTCAGTGAATCTTATAAATATCACAATGACAAAAAGCCATAGCAAAGAAAAGTTCAGTTTTTCTCCGATTGAGTTGATTTTTCCTTCTAGTGTTTCTGACCAGCACCCCATAGCACAAGCAGAGAAACAATTAGATCCTCAGGCAGAGGATGAGAATTCTTCCATTGACATCTCCTCTCTTCATCTCAACCAGACAAAGGTACTTGGATACATCAAACAACAGTACTAACGGAATCCTAGAGCTGACCAAATTCTAGCAATTATCAAATGTAAAAGTTGAAACAGGCCCTATAGCCACTAACAAAAAGCTGGACACATCATGCATTTGATCATGAACCTTACTGAGACAAAAGGTAGAGCACACATTATGCCACTTTTAGGTAGTGATTATAATAATTGTATTATTTATACTTTTCTATTATCAACTTTAGTATTAATTTAACTCCCTTTTGTTGGAACAACATTTTTGTAGATCATTATAATTCTATTCTAGTATATTTTATTAAGATTCACTACTTTTGAAATTCTTAGTTTGGTCAATTGCTTGTAAAGAACCTTTTTAATATGATTTGTTTCGAAATGTGCTATGTAAATAGTGTTTCATTATTGATTGATTTCAGTCTGGCCATAAAGCGTCAGTCGAGGCAAATGATGAAGACTTTTCTGAGGAAAATGAGGTCCAGTATACGACGACCTGCAGCTCTTCCCCAGAGAAAGACAACGATGAGCGGTGGTCATCTCATCCATTGGATGGTAAGTAGAGTAAAGCTCCCTACGCATTTCAATTAATAAAAACACTTTATATGCGACATTTGCATATTTATGTTTCAAACCCATCAGCAAACATTTATTTCTTCAGAACAAATACCGCAAGATGAGATGCACACTGAGGAGCAGGAAACTGGACAAGAGGATCAGGTCTTGGTAGGTTATTTTTTCTATAATACTTTGTACCCCTAAAAACAACAGTGTCATGTTGTGTCATAATAGGAACTAAAAGTATTATTAATAGATTAATGGCATTTTTTTGTAATCTGTCCCAAGAAGTTTATCAACTTTATGGAATTTTAAAAAATTGTGAGCGACGGCTCTCTCAAGAATCAATCTCAACCAATCAATAAATACCAAGGATAATCACATACGGTTAACAGTTATCATATTATGCGTTAAAGAGATTTTTCTGCATATGAACAGCAAACCAATGTGTCGGATGTGGGGGAAGGAGTGGAGGCTGATGTGGGGAAAGAGGGCGCTTCAGATGAAGAGCAGCCACCGAGCGAAAATGAGGACCTTGGTGCTTTCCATCAGACATCTAAAGAGACGCATCCTCAGTCCTCCGTGGCAGAAAGGCCAGCTGTGTTTTCCACCCCAACGTTCCCATTTAAGTAAGGCTTTTTGAATTGTCCAATACTTTGAATTATTGTCAAGACTGCCACTAAAAACGATGTTTCATTTGCTCACTACAGCTTTAGCCCTGCCGCCTCCCCACAGCCAGGCTCCACTGACACCAAATCTCCAGCTTTCCTGTTCTCTCTGCAGTCTGACCCCAGCACCACAGGCTTCTCTGGGTTTGGATTTGACGTGGGCATGTCACAGGAAGAGGTGAGGAGTGGGCAAAAGAAAGAGTGATTTAACAGAAATAACTTCTCTTGTTTATTACATCTTATTTTCTTTACAGGACTCATCTTTCGCTTTCACCAGCCCTTTTTTTAATGAAAAGGTACTGCATTTGTACTTTTATCCAACTATATTTTATACAATACTACTCAAACTAAAATATCAAACTGTGTGTATATTCTTTCAGAAAACCACAGAAACAAAGTCTGCATCTGGTAAGTCTCAAATCAAATGACTTTAATTTAGAGATGTGTATAACCTGCTTTGAACTACATGTATGTGTATCATTTTGCAGGTCCCGAATTTCTGTTCGGCCAACCAGAGCAAAGTGAAGACTTCCATTTTGGCTTCAGCTCCAACAGCCCTCAGACAACGAACAAAAATACAACCAGGGATGAGTTTCCGTTCTCATTTAACTTTTGAGATGTGTAGAAACAACATTTAAATACTGAAAATGGTGTTTCTGAGAACACTTTGTTACCTGTTTTCTTCTGTAATGTTCTTAATTAAGCTTAGGGAAAGGTTCATGGTTTAACACCACCACGTTAAATGGTATGTATTTTATTTTAATTTTTTTTTATTAAATGCAACTTAAAACCTTATTTTAATAACTATTCACACAACAAAGAACATGTTGTAACAGTATTAACTGTTGATAGACCTTTAATGGGAAAAAAGCAATATCAAAATAATACTCAAATGTGTTCATATTCCTTTTCAGTTTTCCATATTGTAAGTACAGTAGTTGTGAAGTTGGTTACATGTTGAAATAAACTTCAGAAATGTATAAATTAAATGTTACTTTCTCTGGTCCCATGAGTCCCTTCCTGACATTAGGTAAGTTAAGGCAAGACACTATGGGCAAAACATGTCCACTTTCATACCCACATTTTTGTTAGTCATATTTCCATTCCAATGTTCAGATTTCTGTTCTGCAAATTATATATTAAATAATATAATGAGTCATTTGACTTTAAAAACATACTTCAGAAAACTTAAAAAATACAAAAAGAATTAGGTAATCCAATCGGAAAGTCTAAAGGAGATATCTGTCGGTTAAACATGTAGCCCTATTCTTCATTTGAACTTGATTCAGAATCTCAAACCAAACAGGACTAATTATTAAATGTTTGTGCAAATGATAGAAGATCTCATTTTGAGCTTGATAACATGAACATACTTATTTCACTTAAGGTTCCTGATCAGATTATTTCTTAAACTCAACATACTTAATTTAAGTTTTACTGTATGGCACACTTGATTGTCTTTTAATGGCAGTGATTTGACAACAAAAAAAGGTTTGTTTGGCAAAAAGAGGAACACAATCTGCAATAAATGAATACCTGAATTTAATCTTTACATTTAATGTACTGAAGCTACTGTGATACTGACAAGACTGACAATCAATGCTGGTCTTAAAAGTATTCAGTATTGTTAACATGAACAACTGTGAAATTGAAAGTAGTCTGCAAATTAACAAAGGCAGGACAGATAAGGGTTAGTGCAGAGAGTTTACTGTAGTTTCAGAGAGTCTAGAACCCGGAGTCCATGCTGATGGAGCGTTGGTTCACATGTTGAATCTCTCCTGGGACATATTCACCGAAGCTGGTTTGGTACTTGGCCAACATTTTCAGCATTGGCCGCAGATTAATCCACCACTGGACCTTGGGCATCCGGTGCCTGAAAAACATAAACCACATGTTTTTATTAAGACTGAATCATAATTTACTCTTCTGTTATTTGACATGAAAGTGTTGAGATTGCTTACTCAAAATCAGTCACATCCTTGAGTTCAGTGACGGGGTTGAAGGAGATCACCTTCCTGTTGAGACCGAGCACGCATGCTGTTTCTGGAGAGTTAGCGAACACGCGTCCTGGTGGGGAAAAACAGTGGAATGATTCAATTGTGGCGTTTTAACTTTGGGTTTCTGAGCAATTTTTAATATAAACTGACTTTATATAGTGCATTACCTTGTCGGAAGTTTTCAGTTAATTTAGCTGAAATCCACTCGATTGCCTTCATGCCCAACTTAGTGCCAAAGTTTCTATCGAATGGGGAAGGTGCTCCACCCTGAATTATAAACACAAGTGAAGAATACATATGTTGCAAGACTCTTCCCAGGATATGAGTGATATGTTATATTGCCACTGTAACAGAAGTCATTGGTGGATGGCTCTTGTACCTGCTGAAGGTGTCCCAACACATTGACCCTGCAGTCAAAGATGCCCTTCCCCTCTGATGTATACAGCTTATGGATGAAATCTGTGGTGTAGTTCTCATGGCATTTCTCATTCCTGTTATGACAGAGAAAATTATCAACAAAGGAAAAACCTGTTCTGACAGTATTTCATGTAATAATAATAATAATAATAGATTTAATTTGTTAGCGCTTTTACAGGTGCTCAAAGACGCTTTACAGATAATAGTGAAGAAAGAAAGAAAAGAGAAGAAAGGAACAACAAATAAATATATAGTTAAAGTTAAAGTCAAATAATACAAAAACAATCACACATGAAAAGCCAGATTGAAGAGGTGAGTTTTTTGAAGGTGGTGAGGTCGGTGCAGTCTCTGATGGGTTGTGAGAGTGAGTTCCAGAGGGAGGGGGCAGCGACGGAGAAGACTCTGTCCCCCCAGGTCCGGTGATTGGTGCGGGTGGGGATGGATAGGAGGTTGGCTTCTGATGAGCGGAGGCAGCGGGAAGGGGTGTGGTGGTGCAGCAGGTCTGTGAGGTAGGGGGGGGCCTGGTTGTTGAGGGCTTTGTAAGTTATGAGGAGGACTTTGAAGTGGATTCTTTGACGGACGGGGAGCCAGTGGAGGTTCTGGAGGATGGGAGTGATGTGGTCTCGGGAGCGGGTGTGGGTGAGGAGGCGGGCAGCAGAGTTCTGGATATGTTGGAGTTTATTGAGGAGGTTGGATGGTATGCCATAGAGGATGCTATTGCAGTAGTCGAGTCGTGAAGTGATGAATGCATGAATCAGGGTTTCAGCAGCAGAGGAGGAGAGTGATGGGCGGAGACGGGCAATGTTTTTGAGGTGGAAAAAGGCGGTCCTGGTGATGTGATTTATGTGGTGGTTGAATTTGAGCTGACTGTCGAAAATGACTGTAGTGATATATTGTTCCATAAACACAGTACAGTATGTTCTTAAGATTGAAGTAAAAAAAAAAATATATATCTCTATAGTATTTTCCCCTTCTTGTGTGGCTCTAAGGATGGTACTTTGTTCCAGACAAAAATATATTTATTTACATTTGGCAGCTCCTATGGAGGTTCTATGAGGAAGTTTGGGATATCGGTCATAGTTTATAACATCACCAAAAACAATCCTGAATTTAAATAAATCATTAGTCAGGTTTTATGAGGATGTTTTTTTAGTAGGTACATTTTTTATCACATTTTATTGAAACCTATCATAAAACTCTTCCCTCTGTAGCCTATTTTTTGTCCAACACTGAACTGGTTGCAGCAGTGGAGTGCTGGTACAGAGTCGGCTCTGGTGCAAAGATAGGAGGAACCCAGCCTGAGATCATAAAGCTGCGCAGAATCAGGTAATAAACCAATGATATAATTATGCTGGTGTCCTACTTTCTGTTTCTTGCAGGACGCTGCGCCCTAAAGGAGGAACATGTGCGAAACAGAGCGGCCTCAGGGCACTGGGGGATATTTACGTTTATTGTTGTTAGAGCCTGTTATGTTTTAGCAGGAAAGGATAGTCAAATAAAAATCTGATTGTCTCGACCAAACCTCCTCTCTTTCCTTCATTGTCAACTGAGTGAGAGCAGGACACGGGTTCAAACTAAATCCACTTGCAAAAAAAAGCTGAGAACCAATCATTCTTAGAATACGTCATTAAGAGTAAAACATTTCAATGTTTCGAGGAAGCTTTGAAATATTTAGTACAGCCCAAAAGAATACTAATTTTCCCTCAGCAGTATTCTATTTTCAGCAAATATTAACATGCAAACCTGTTAAACTAAGTAAAAACACTTTCTTGGTTAGCTTCTTCATTTCATAATAGTCTCTGTATGGCTAAATTAATGTTGTGCACCTCAGTACTAGACCCCGCTGGATGTCCTTCTTCATCTTTTCAGCCAAATGCTGCACGTTGGTCTGTCAAAAGGAGAGATAATTAAAGAGACGGAGAGATTTGAACATTATTGACAAAATAGAATACAGCAGAGCATTTCTTGTTTTAGACTCACCGTGAGGTCGTGGATGTTGAAGGGGTCTTCAAAGATGTAGGCTGCGTCCGCTCCCACAGCTATGCCAGTGTAGGTTGCCAAATATCCACAGAAGCCCCCCATAGTCTCCACCACAAACACCCGTCTCTTGGTCCCGGTGGCAGACTGCTTGATCTTGTCGCAGCCCTGAGTAACAAATCAAAATGGCAGAGTGAAAGGAGAGATTAGCAATTGAAGGCAGGGTCAACATTGTAGAAGTGGAGTTTTATTTTATTGGTATAACCCTCACCTACACAATACTGTGCACAGTTTAAAAGCCCATCATGCAACGTCTAGAAAGACCAGTAGTGGAAGTGTATTTTTTACATTAATTACCATGTGTCGTGCTAAAATGTGGACTTTGCTATTGATTAAATAAAAAGGCATTGGAAGTAACTAGAGCGTGTCTCTGATTCCCTATCCTTCAAAGTTTAAAGATAAAAACTATAGGTGTAAATACTGTCACCTCTGTTTCAAACAAAGAATACAGAGTTGAGATGTATCGTACTAAGGACGGCAGCTCATATTACTGTATATTTGAGGTGTTCTGGCTTGATGCAGTCTCTATTTGTGTTAATCCTCTTGAAAAATGGAATTGACACTGTTAATTTGTTGCCTGCTCAGCATTACCTGCATGGCAGCATTGACGGCCGTGTCTGCTCCCAGGCTGAAGTCCGTTCCCGGGACGTTGTTGCTGATGGTAGCAGGGATTACACACATGGGGATGCAGAGCTCATCGAAGAGACCCCGGGCTTCAAACAACTGCAACACTCCTGCGTACCCCTTTAAAAGTCACCAAGAGATAGAATGAAAAACCTCTTTGATGTTACATTGTCAGTAAAACATATTACACAAGTTCAGTCTTTGGGAGTTCTGTCTTATACCTCGAACCCTCCAATTACAAGCAGAGCTGAGATGTTAAACTTTCTGATGGTTTCCACAATCCCCTCCATGTTATTGTTGGGAAGAGTTCTGAAAAAGCGCATAAAACAGAGGTGAAAAAACTCTTCAGAGGCCCTCTAACAAGTCTATGTCATAGAACACTTGTTAGTTGGAAGTATAGCACATTCTGTGAGAAGGTGTACGTTGTAATACTGTCTAATTGAAGCCTGCATCAATTATTGCTCAAAAATATATGGCTATGTCCAAAATCCCAGAACCTAATGAAAGTACAAAACGAATCTGTTGCAGTAATATGTTTAAATTACGGAAATTGTTCTGTTGCTCACCGTTTTGTCCCCAGCAGTGAGCCCCCTTGCCCTGTCCAGCCTGCAACACTGTGCCATCCCATCTCCAAAACCTGCAGACAGACAGCAGAGAACAGTCTCCTCACAGTTCCACACAGATAACTTGTTGTTGTTGTGGTGTAGATGTAGAGGTAGACTCCCTTACGTTTCCATTGGCAAGTCCCTGAAAGCCGTTGTGGACAGCGTAGACCTTGTGTCCTTTAGCGAGCGCCAGCCTCACCGCAGAGCGCCCCGCTGCGTTCATCCCTGAAGCCGGAGCCCCCACGTTCAGGATAGCCAAGGAGAAGTTGCTCTGAGGCAACAAGAGTCGGATATTAATAAGCATGTTTGTGCTTAACCTTTGTAATTATGTGGTAAGGATACTACTGAATATATGTGTGTGTGTGTGTGTGTGTGTGTGTGTGTGTGTGTGTGTGTGTGTGTGTGTGTGTGTGTGTGTGTATATATATATATATATATATATATATATATATCTTGTGTATGATAAACATAATTTGAGTGGATGTTAAATGTATAGAAGGTACTTGCACATGTGTTGATCTACAGTGCATCAAGGCTGTTTTGTATTAAATTAAAAATGATTCTAGCTATTTCATATACATGAAAAACATCTCACCCTCCACGCAGTTTGATAGCCTCATCAAACCTCTTCTCGTTCATGGCTGTCTGCACCAACTTAGTCTGCAAATAATGGTACAGTTGAAAAACACAGCAACCTCCCTATGCTTGTGAGTATGTCTAATGAAATCAATTCTAAAATAGATAAGAGTGACAGACTGACTCACCATCTCCACACACTCCATCAGAGGCAGACGAACAGCCTGGTTACCTGACAGACCGATGACACAGGCTGGGGTGTCAGGAGTGGCATCCATCAGGGCAACCACCGCCTCCACCCCCAACTTAGAGCTCTGAAACACAAGAGACTCCACACCGTTAGAGGGGGGCCTCCTGAAGACTTGATATTTCAGGTACTGTGTGACTGATGTGTGTTTTCGTAGGCCTACACTGGGTTGTCTCATTACAATTTTGGATTAAAAGCAGTAATATAACCTTTAAAATTGTTTAAACATGTTTGTTTTTTTGCCATAATCAATTTACATGTACATTTGTATGTTGTCCTACTCACCAGTATTCTGTCAAACGCAGAGGGGGTTCCTCCTCTCTGAACATGGCCGAGGACTGTCACTCTGGTGTCATAGCCGAGCCTCTGTACCACCAGCTGTAACACACATGGAAGAATTTCAGTTTGTTGTTGGCTTGTCATTGACCACCCATTCACACCGTAGAAGATAATCGTACTTTACAAACATTTGAGATAAAACTTTGAACAAACTGATATCTTCCAGTTTAAAATGTGCCTTCATAATCTTCAATATTCAATTCAACCAGATAAGTGATGCTGTTTGCCCTCATTGTTCCTTGTGAAGGTTGATGGAAGCGATGAAATGTTGCACTGGTGCCTTTCACGTGGAGAGAGCACTGAGACATATTGATCAGTTAGTTAATCTTTCATTGGAGAGGAGTGGAATTTGGTGTGTTGGTAGGAGGAAGAATGAGCAGCTCAACTGAGGGGAAACACTGAGATCTTAAAACTTACTTCTTTTACATAAGTTGAAGTGATGGGCTTGCCATTTCTGTCAATGGCTCCTTCTGCGAGGATTACAATGTTGAGTCTTGACCCAGTTGTGCGGCTCTTGAGGTCAAAAATTAAGAAAAACAGAACAAGCAGTAGGTCAGTAAGCTTTATCCCTGAAATGCTTGTAGATCAAAGAGCATGTTTATTAATCCCCTACTTTAAAACCCTCTCCTGTGAAAACACAAATGCCTGGGGCGAATATATACTGTTTGTTTTGACCTTTTCGTTCATCTTACCCCCTCTAGACGGGCACACATCTGGTCTTCCCAGCCTTCCTGGGGAGGAGCCTCTGGAATGAAGAGCCAGTCTGCCCCAGAGGCCAGTGCTGACACTAGGGCCAGATATCTGGAGGGATATCACGATCATTAGCTTTATCCAGTGGCAGTATGTGAAGGATAGACAAATTGGTCAAAGTGTTACTACTCACCCACAGTGTCGCCCCATAACTTCCAGAACAAATGTGCGCTGGTGGCTGGAGGAGGTACACAAGATTTATAATGAAACAAAACATTTTGCAGCCTGCCAAGATCTAAGGGAGCAAGTCCAGGCAAGACCACATGCCAAAGAGGCTTGAATGGGACTGGGTTAGAACACGGTTGCATTCCAATTACTTATTACAACATGCAGGTACATACACATATTATGGTAAGTCTGATAAAGTCTGAAAATTCTCATGAGACAGATACTGTTGCTATATATTTGAAATGATCTATATTAATATTATAATACCAACTAATTATTTTCAAAAATCATTTTTTTAGGGACTAATCGATTAATCATTTCAGCTGTAGTTTGATACCATCTATCACAGCTATAAGTATAAACTGTATATTTCCCACTGCGTTATTGTTGCATCTTCATATTCTATAACTTATTTAGTAAGAAGGGATCTCATTATAATTGCTTTGATGAAATACCATCTGCTTTTGTGCTGCCACTGTTCAATGTCACTCGGTGCCTGACCTTTGTGCTGTTGTCATGATAGCATCAATTATCTCCATGATGCGGTGCAGAGCAGAGTCGACTCCGATCGTCATGTCCGTGCCGCAGAAGTCGTTGTCGATGGAGCCCACGAGCCCCACGATGTTCAGGTGGCCATGCTGCTTAGCCAGAGTGTCTGTGATTCTTCCTGAAGAGACACACGTGCATTGTTATAGATATTATTCTAGCAGCTTACAATTTAACACACCAGAACAAGATAAAATCATTACTTCTGTATCAAGTGTTGTTTCAGAGGACATTCGGCAACTGCCAACGTTTGTTCAGCTTGTTTCTCTAAAAACACAGTATTTAAAATCCCTAATCTGGATAAAATATATATTTAAAAAAAAAACATTAGCTTTTTTAATATAAATATGTGGGTTGCAACTGAATAAAAAGTGAATTTAGGACCGATTCTGGCAAAACAACTAAAACACCTGCCAAAGGTGATACGTCTCCATTTTGGGCCACCAAATGAAACGGACCGTTTACTTTAATTAAAATAACAGATATCTTTAGGTCTAAGGGTTCTTGGAAATATTTGGAATAAGATAACAATTTAACCGAATATATATCATAGGTGGAGTTAGTTTTTTAGACATTTTAGTGGAAATGTTAAATTATTATATAGGACTTTTTAGCATAGAAATTGTATGTACCATGCTGTGGCCAGAATGCAGTAAAAGTACATAATTAGGGTAAACTACACAGTGACAAGTGGACAATGAGATCACGTCACCTTTCTGTACAAGCTCCTCCAGCAGACTGCTCCACTCGCTGCGGAAGATGTTGGCTCCGGTGAGGCTGCCGTCTCCGCCACACACACACAGGTTGGTGATGCCTTTCTTCACCAGGTTGAAGGCAGCAGCCAGCCTACCCTCACGAGTTGTGAAGGCCTTGCATCGGGCGCTGCCTATCACAGTCCCACCCTGCAGAGGAGATTACACACAAACAAAATCAAGACTAACAGGACATAGTAATCTGTCACTGAAATCATGTGCTGCAAAGATACAGAAATATTTCCTTTTGCTCAACGTCCTGATGGTGTTGTTAGATAAATCAGATGTCTGGGGTGGAAGATTAGAAACAGAGCTAGATCACAAGCAGTCATTCCAGATTTATTTCTGTTTTAATGCCGAGTGAAACCTGCCATCCACTTGCTTTACAGCGAGGTTACTAAGTTGTGGATGGTGACCCCCAGGAAAAAGGGACGCAATAATAAACTAGGGGGTCCTAAAAACTATTAGCATAGTTAGTAGGAAAAATCACATTCTGCTACATAAAAATTGTTAATTTCGAACACTAAAAGTTATTCAATTGAAACAGCCTTAAAGAGGGGACATTTACTCTTGTTTGAACTGCTCAAAATTCATAAACATCAAACCTAAGACAACTTGTAAATTGAAAAATTGCTAAGGGGTCACCAGCACACAAGCTAATAAACAGTGCAATACAGAGTTTGTACATGTCTGGATACTATGCAATGCAAAGGGGACAGTTGGATAGCGTATAATGAAAAGTAACTTTCCAATTATTCAACTAATACGGCTGAGAGCACATGCAGCAAGGCCCCTTACCAGGGTATAACCAGAATTAGACAGGCAGGAAGAGAAGAGATGAGAGGAGATGGATTAAATCATAAAATTCCTAGTAAATACATGAAAAGGAAAGAGAAAAACAGAGATATTTTAACCACAATGAATAGAAAAAAATATAAATCAAGATACAATTAATGCAGGATAGGTGGAAACCTGTAAATAATTATAGCTAGATTCACCACTGCTGTCAAGGGATTGATGATGTTGTTTTAACCCACCAGTTGGATGATGTTGGTCACACTCTGCCAGTGTGCTAGTTTGATGTTGTCTCCCCCATCCACCAGGCCCTGGTATCCCTGAAAAGTAATTTCCAATGGTGTGTTACTGTTAAAAATAGCAATGTGGGCAAGTCAACAAGAATAAAGAGCAAACTCCATTTTTATTAGGGTCATATTAAAGAAACTTGTTTACCTCATAAATAAGATAGACCTTGGCCCCCATATAGATGGCCATTCTGGTCATAGCTCGGACAGCAGCATTCATCCCTGGAGAGTTTAATGAAATGATTAGATTCACCTCTGTTTCTCATTACACACAAGCTGTTTGCAAAAATAACCGTGCATGTGCAATCAAACAATGGATATGACTTAATTATTTCTCATTGGGCAAAGGTGCCACCCACTCTGTGGAAATAGTAACAATGACCTACAAGCATTAGTTGAACGGTCCCTACCACTCTATGAGGTACAGGAGGTAGAATATTTTGATTTTAAATAAAGTAATTGTACCACAGTGTAGAAACATTCTGCTACAACTTAGTAAAAGTCCTGCATCACTAATTTCACTGTATTGAAAGTATAACACATGAATCATATACTTGAAAACGTACAAGTTAAAGTATTATATAAGTAAGATTATGTGCCATCATTAATTTGTTTGTTATATTGTGTTGTGTTAACCCTAATATGCAAACTATCAGTAACTAAATGCATGTAGTGCCTGGTATAACAAATTCTATTTTTAAGTCAATAAGTTGTAGTGGAGAAGAAATATGTAAGTAGGAAAACATTCTAGTACTCATGTACGTGAAATTGTTCAGGAATTGGGTAATATAATTAGTAATTACGTTATTTTTAGACTGCTCATACACGACCTTTGACCTTTAATCTATGCCTTTGACACACGAGCCGATGTCCAATGTTTACATTTGTTGCAAAAAGTAAGCTTAATATCAACGTTTACTTAAAGAATGGCTGTATAAACTAACTGTAATATGTGTTTTGTTTAAAGTCACCTTGTGCATCTCCACCGCTGGTCAACACGGCCATGGCTCTACCAGCTCCCGTCATCTTCAGCTTCTCCAGGTCAATGGAGTTCATTTTGACCCCTCAGTTTGCTACAGTGAAACCGGGAGAAAAACTAAGAAATATCCGTTAGCTAGCAAAATAAAGCGGTCCTTAAAGTAACGTTCAGGTTGTTCATCCAGGTGTCGCTTCCTTGTTGGCAGTAAACTGACTCCATGGACTGTGTACATAAGCCATAGATATAAGCGGATGTCAGCTACCAGAGCGTGCATGACTCCGCCCTGCAGAGTGGGCGTTAGTTTATCATCCAGTGTCCTGCAGAGGAGTCCCCGAACACCAAAGAGGAGCATGCAGCTGGGAGCGCCTCCAACAATACGCGCATACTCCCGAGTCTTGATTTCTAAGGCAAAGTGTTGTATTAAAACGTTATGCTTTGCTCTTTATAGAAATATATGATATCAAGACAACCCCCTAAACAGGTTGAAACAAGTGTGCTGTCGCAGCGCAACGGAAAGACGCTCTGCTCCTACGTTTTTCTGAGGAAAATCAATAAAAGCAGTTCGTAAGACAGTACAACGTACCAAGTACCCCTCAATGCAGTGCGCAATGCCTCAATGTGGCCGTACCATGGATGTATAATAAGAAGGCCGTACACATCATGCGGCTGTGTCCTTCTTTTGAAAGTATTTAAACTTTTGGGACGCAGCAGCCAGCACCACTTGTCATGTGACGAGGAACAACCAATCACAGCCGGCGCATATCCACACTGCTTCCGTAAACATACATCTTTGGAAAAACTTTAACCACAGAGCACCGCTACTGAAATTTCACAAGATTAAAAATGTTTCTGGAACAGAGTAGCAGACTGTTATCCTGCAAACAGACAGACATACAGACAAGACAGACGGACATACAGACCGACACACAACAGGAACGCAACAACAAATCACCTCAACGACAGATGGATCATGAGATACCATCAAGGAATATGCAGTTATATCGATAGTGCTAAAACAAAAGCAGTTTCAATCATTTTTTAAAACTTATATCGGTTTCCTGTGACTAACTTCGGGCAGGTTGCTCCTGGGTCCCGCCCCTCTATGACGTATCCTGATCCACCTGTCAGTCGGCACCGAGTCGCACGGTGAGGAGATGAGAGGGATGCATTGAGATGACCGGACAGGACGATGTGGACATACCCGGTGAGATACCTAACTTCTACACATGAATACCTGGCACATATATTACTCTTCTTTATGAGGCGTGCTTACCTGGCTCTCTGCTCCCGATGCCACACGGTTGACCTCTGCTATTTCTGTCAGGCTGCTACTTAAATAGCTTGAGATTTGACAGCAGGTTAGGACTTAGCCGGGGTTAAGGTAAAGAAGAGTAAGTTAATGTCTAATTTTCCTATCAAAGTCAGTTTAAAAATGAATCTTACATTTGTCTTCAGAAACAGGAGCCATCTTTACATTTGGAAAGAGCACTTTTGCTGACAACGTGCCTAGTACATTCTGGTTGAAGAATGACCTGCCTGTGCACATCTCCTGTGGCTGGGAGCACACTGCTGTCACCACAGGTGCATACAACCTTTGCACGTTTTATTTATTAATATTTACTATGTGTAGTGGGTCTTCTGTATAGCCTGATTGAACAACTCTTATTCCTGCAGAAAATGGCAGGCTGCTCATGTTTGGTGGTAATACTTGGGGCCAACTGGGGATTGGATCTAAACCTGCTGCCAGCAAACCTGCCTTTGTGAAAGGTGAGTTACTTTACAATTAAACTGTGAATTTTGATTATGCTTTTAAATGGACATTATGCCAATCCTTTTATCGCTTGACTTTTCCCTGTGTTTTTTACATCTGTTGTAATTTATTGTCTTTTATTGTGATTGTAGTAATGTGTTTTTATTAAATGTACTGTACAGCACTTTGGCTCGACCAAAAATCGCTTTTAAATGTGCTTTATAAATAAAACTTGATTTGATTTGATCAAATGTCAGGGAAACAGTGAAAAAGCCCAACTTTAAAATCAATATTTTTTTCCAAAGTTATGAAAACATTGACACAAACATTGTACCATATAATTCTGAGGTACTTGGCAGTATACAGTCATTTCAACAAGCTCTACCTTTACCAGCTTCAACATTAAAGTTAATACATTAATGAAGTCATTAACGTTGGTGCTTAAAGTATATTTGTATGTTAAAAATAATTGTACATTTTTAATGCAAGACTTTCACTGCTCAAGAGTATTTCTACAATGTGTTATTGCTACTTTTGCTTAAATAAAAGATCTGAGTTCTTCTTCCACCTTATTATTCTGACCAACATACCAAAACCCAAAGATGTCCCGTTTTTTGATCACAGTAGATAAGGAAGAACATAAATCCCTCACAATTTTAGAAACTGAAACCAAATAATTACTCGTGCAAAGGAATATATAATCAAACTTACTTGCTATTAATGGATTTAAATCGACTAAACTATCAATCAACTTGTTGTCTTAGCCCTCATTTAAACATAGACTGAGGAGCATTCTTTGTGGTATTTCAGTACAATTGTGCTTTTTTCCTTTTCAGCCTTAAAGTCTGAGAAGGTGAAGCTTGTGGCTTGTGGGAGGGATCACACAATCGTCTCCACATGTAAGATGATACTTAAACAATATCAGAATGTTTCCTTGAAGTGTGAGTTTGGATCTTTTGAGGTGGGGTTGAATGAAGTTCCACAGCGTATAAGTTGCCTGTCAAAAACTACGGCAACTTAAATTTAAAAAACGGTCTATATATATATTAAACTTAAATTCATGTTGTAGGTGGGCCTTCTCTTTATGTTTTGTCTTTGTCTATTACTGCAGTGTGTTTCTGCATACTCAGGGCTTGTAATACTTTAGCTAGGAATAGATTCCTCACACACACACACACACACACACACACACACACACACACACACACACACACACACACACACACACACACACACACACACACACACACACACACACACACCCCTCTTCAAAACATCCAACGTGTTCCTTTGAACATGTTCTCAGTTTTGTAATTTAATTTTTTAGGGCAGGGCAGTGTTTACAGTGCTGGCAGAAACCAAGAGGGGCAGCTCGGTTTGGGTCACCACGACAACACTTCATCCTTCCTCCTGCTGCAACCCTTCTGTGGCTATGCACCAATCAAAAAGCTTTCTTCTGGATGCAATACCTCAGCTGCCTTAACAGGTTCAAACAGTGACTAATAATAATGTAAGAGTTGTTTCCGTAGTAAATGTACTCATAATAGTGTGTCTCCCTGTGTTTGTGTTGCTAGAGGATGGGAGGCTGTTCATGTGGGGAGACAACTCTCAGGGTCAGATTGGTTTGGGGGATGAGGGTTTTTCAGCAGAACCCAGAGAGGTGGGTGTTGGTGAGGCGGTGATCTGGGTCTCCTGTGGGTGCCACCACTCAGCATTTGTCACAGGTACAACACAGTCCAACCAAACACAGCAAAAGACACCGCCCACCCAGTTTGAGTGTCTATTTAACCAACAATATTGTGTTGGTTTTGTTGTTCTAGCGGACGGAGATCTCTTCACGTTTGGCGAGAGCGCGAATGGAAGGCTTGGTCTCCAGGGGGAGCAGCTGGCCAATCACAGAGTCCCTCAGCGGGTGCAAGGGATTGTGGGTCATGTCACGCAGGTTTCGTGTGGAGGCGAGCACACCGTGGCACTCACAGGTAGAAGAACAGATAAGAGACATTTCTACTGACACCTTTCTCTAGGACACACTTGACTGTTGTGTTATAGATATATTACAAATTCAAACATTTCCCGTCCTAGCCGTCCTAGGTTAATCGGTGGTGGAAGACGTTTTAAGATCCTTTACTTAGGTGAAAGTCCTGCACTTAGTTAAGTTTTACTCAAGTAAAAGTACATTATCAGTTAATTGTAACTAAACAACAACAAGTACTCCTTATGCAGACAGACCATTTCATTAATTTATATATATATATGGTATGTATTAACATGTAAGCAACACTTTGACGTTAGCGACTCAAGGTGAAACTGATTTTTATTTTTTATTAAATGAACAAATCTTTACATTTTAACAAATCTCTAGTGTAGTCTAATTAGACCTGTTTCCAACTTGAATATTTAAGAAAAGATTGTAAAAATCATGGAGGACGACAAGATAAATATGACCTGCTTTAGTTTCAAGAAAAAAGTCACCTTATTCTAGATTGTAGTTGACTTCTATTAAAACTAGCTTGAACTAAATACCCCAAGCAATCAAACATGTAGCGAGGTAAACATATTTGTTTTTCTCTTTGAAATGTAAATGAACATGCTCACTAAATGTACATGCTTTCCACCCCTGCGGTTTATATAAGTGGTTTGTTTCATTGTGCCTGTGTTGCTTTGCCAGAGGAGAACGTGTACACATTTGGCCGAGGTCAGTACGGTCAGCTGGGCCACGGAACATTTCTGTTTGAAGTCGATTTGCCAAAACCACTGGAGCACTTTTCTAACAGTAGTATCAAACATGTCGCCTGTGGAGAAAACCACACCGCTGTGATCACAAGTAAGCAATCTCTAAAGCTCATTCTGCTCATTATGATACAGCCTGGCAACCTTTCATCATTGAAATGTCCAGCAATTGAATGAAACTTTATCTAATGCAATTGTCCTCCTCCTCCAAAGGCAGCGGGCTTCTCTACACGTTTGGTAACTGTCGTCATGGGAAACTGGGTTTAGGGCAGGAGAACTTTATCAACCACTTCAGCCCGGCCCTCTGCACACGTTTCCTAAAGTACAATGTTCTAATAGTAAGTGAATATTGAGCAACATCTCAGGATGGTTATGTCATCCATACCCGAAAAACTTTTGGCTTAAAAACCCCTTTATATGTGCAGTTTACCAATCTTTACCCCATGCTTCTGAATATTGAGAGGACATACACAACACACGTGATAAACTTTCCTGTGTTTTCTCTGGTTTAGGTGTCCTGCGGTGGAAACCACATGCTGGTAACTGCAGCCCCCAGACCACCAGAGAGTCAAGAAGTGTTGCCAGGGGAGGATGTGACAATCACAGATACCTTTTTGGAGCCAAATTATCGAGAACTCCTGCTGCTGGAAACTTTGATTGATCCTAATTTAATCGTCCCACTCTCAGCGATCGCTGCTCGAGCCCGCCACAGACAAAAAGTGAGAACCTACCCCTTGGTATTTATTTTCCAGGCGAGATCAAGTTCTCACACTTTTCTAGACACCTAAACGATTCAGCACCATCACACCTGTAGCAAACTTCTTACCTAGATATGTGATATAATAATAAATCATTCTAAGCAATACAACTGTTTTTCCATTACAATTTACTTTACTACTATAACCTATTCAATAATGAAATGGGTATTATGATGCAAAAATATTTTTAGAGTAGAACATTTTGTTATCTCAGTTTTAGATGATTGTAATGACACTCTAACTCCAGTAGGGGGGAGCGTTACACTAAGCTGTAGCTCTGCCGCAGTGCCACTTCCTAACTGGTTGGGGGAGCTCCATAGATGTGGTTCAAATTTTTAACTCACTGATGTTTTTGGCTGTTTTTTCCTCTCCTCTTTCAGGGAATCTCTGAGGAGATGTTTCACAACCTCCCACGTCTAAATTCTGGTTTCCTCAACACCTCCTGGCAAACATCCAGAAATATTCCAACCCCCAAAACACTCTCAAAGGACTTTACTACCCCTACATCATCCCCTCAACCACAATCAGAAGTGACACTAAGCCCCCCACTCTCCCCCAGATCTCCAGTGATCTCATCTCAACCATCGAGCCCACATTCTCAGTCATCAAACACCTCTCAGAACAAATCCTCTGCTTTCTATAGGTCTACATCCGAGTGGCCTTCTCCCATACTATCACCAGAGTATTTAAATAATCATGACACATCAATATCTCCTAAAAGTACGCCAGAACAAAGTCTGTATAAAGAGGCAACCACTGAAAAAGCCTTAATTGAAGAATCTCCTTCAGCACCTAAAGAGCCCTGCAGCCCCAACAGACCCTCCAGTGATGTTTCCAATCAACTTCTCAGTGAGGAAGAAGAGCAACCTGCCTCGCAATCAACAGGTAATAATAAGCTATAGTTTTATCACATGTCTGTTTAGGTATAGATACTCTAGTATGCAGCTGTTTATTAACCAAGTCACTGTCTGTTTGTTTTCAGAGGGAGAAACTATGCAGAGGCAAATGACCATAGAAGATGTGGAGGAGGATCTGTCTGAGGAAGGATCTCACTCTGACATTTGGCCAAATATGGTAAGAAAACTCTGTTGACTTTGATTAAGAGTAAAGAAATACAATTATAATGTCCACAGAGTCATAAACGGAGAGTCAGTGGAACGTTTTTCTCCTCTTCAAGCTTCTTGGATGTGGTCTAGATTATGTGCACTCCAGGGCAGGAAGCAGCGATGTTGAACACTCACTGACTTTTCCAGGAAATGTGCATAGCTCAGCTGTGTGTGTGTGTGTGTGTGTGTGTGTGTGTGTGTGTGTGTGTGTGTGTGTGTGTGTGTGTGTGTGTGTGTGTGTTTTCCAATAATGTGTAATACATCTCCTCAAAGCAGGTTCAGAGATTAGGATTGCTTCTGCCAATACACAATTGTGTGTTGTTCAGAGCAACAAATACACACACATACAAACTCTCACACACATGCACACACATGTACATGATGCATTGAAAACGTTGGCAGGAATCTTGCCACATCATATCAGTTTTTCCACAGCCAGAGATGAAGCAAGCTGTGAAAGAGTCTCTAGCGTTGTTGTGTAATTTAGAACAACACGCAGCGATCACTATCCCAATTCTGTCCAGCTGTAATGATAAGTGTGTCTGCATGTGCATTCATGTGCAGTGGTGGAAGGAGAATACATGGCCTTTTATTTAAGACAAACTACCAATTAAAATACTTCATTATAAGTGTAAGTCATGCATTCAAAATCTGACACAGGTTTTATCAGCAAAGCTTACTAAATGGGTTTTATTTAAAATAGATTGAGATACAAGTTGAAACAAGTTCATTGGCAAACAATTCATTTAAAAAAATTTCTTCTGGCTTTTCTAAATGAGACTTTAAGGACTAGGTTAAGGACTTAGAAGCTAACTGAATAAGCGATTGTGTGCAATGAAATATGCAACATTTACAAACTGTTCACATGTTTTAAAAGTAAACTTCTAGAATCCATATATTAATTGTGTGTCAAAAATCTGAAGTGAAGCGAGTATAATATGACTATCTCTAAAGTAAAGTATACGCCACAAGTTATTGAACATGCATTTTAAAGTCTGCTATGAAGTTGAATACATGAACATTTGTACATCACACCCGACTGACCCCAGAAAAACCACTGTCTCTTTTTATAGTTCCTTTGGAAAAATAAGGATTCCTCTCATCTTCTCTCAACCATCACCATGGTTTCCTTTACCTCCTACCACATATGTATTTACACCTAGTGACAGATGTATTGATGAGTCATCGACATAATGTGTTTCCCTTTATGACTATTCTGCAAAGAAAACCCATCATTTTCCTTGTGCTTTAACAAAAATGCTGATTTATATTGGTAATTATTTCAGAAGATTTTAACAAATGGCATCCACAAATACTGTAACATATAGTCTCCAAACAAATGCTTATAGTCTTTTTAGCTTGAGGTACTGAAGTCTGTCTTTGAACAAGAAATTGCTTCCTCAAACTAGAGCGGACATGCTTTTGGCAGTAAAAGACACGAAACATAAAATGCCAAAACTACGCATGCAGACACCTTGATTGCAGGTCTGCTGCTGCACGTTCCATTTTTATATATGACCTTTTCTGTCAGCTTTATTTGTATTCACATCTGACTGAATCCCTCTCTCTATGTTTTATTACAGGACAAGAAGAAAGGCAGGCCTCCTATAGGAACTACGGAAGAGGCAGAGTTGTTTGCCAAACAGTTCAATTGGGAGGCAGAACAAGATTCTCCTAAGGCTTCAGCCACAGAGCGCCTGAAGGGCTCTTTAAAGAAAGAAGTGACTCCACCAAGGAGTCCAAAAAACACACCCAAAAAAGTCTCATCTAAAGGCAAAGAGAACATTACAAAGCAGACCATTAAAATAAAAAGTCATGAAGCTCAAAATCAATCTTCCCATTTTAAATCAAAAAAACTATCATCACCGAGTCCAAAAACTCCACAATCTGTCCGAAACACACTCACTGAAGCCCCGCAGAGAACGACTGAAGGGACGGCAGATGACAGGAAACATAGAAATGGGAAAGAAAGTATAATAAACAAAGAGGATATGAAAGAAGAAGTGTTTAATGTAACAGAGGGAAAGGACATCACGAGCATATCTGTCCAAAGTGAAAGTTTGTCATCTGTAGAAAAACATGAAGAAATTCAGAGAGAAACCACTGAGGTGAGACCTTTTGGAGAAGAGACGCAACAGGAGACACGACGATTAAAAACAACTCCATCAAGAGATTCGCTCAAGGTTAAGTCTGCCCTTGGAAAAGGTCAAAACAAAGGACCTGGTGTAAAATCACTACCAGGGAAAATACAAGATAAAAGTGCAGGAATTACGCCCGTTAAAGGCAAAGGAAAAGTTGTGAAAGATGAGTTAAACAAAGCTCAAAAGATGAATAGTACAACTGCAGGTAAGCAGAAGACACCCGAAGGTGACAGTGCTAAAGTAAAAGACAAAAAGATGGCAAAAGAAACTCAAATAAAGGCAAAACCAAGAGCAGAAGGAGACAGAGTTAAAGCTGACTCTGAAGGTAATAAGAAAGCAAAGCCCAGAAGTAAGCAGACTGAAGCATCCAGCCCGCTGTTATCACAGCAGGATGCATCTGCTGAAGTGCTATGTAGCCCTATTTCCTCACAAAGCACTCGGAGAACAGAGGTCGTCTCTGTCTGTGGAGCCAAGTCCCTGCAGGGCCCTGGACCTGCTGATAGAGACCTGCTTGCTGCTGGGTCACACAGAGAGGACACTCAGAGCCTCACTGAAGAAAAGCCAAAGTGGGGGGAAGTCATCAGTACCGCAGCCTCTCTTCTCCCTGCTGTTGGAATAGCAGGTGCAGCTATGGGGGTCCTTAGTGAGGCGGGGACAAGAGAACAGGGCTTCCAGTCTGACTCTACACCCCCCAAAACACCCAACCGAGTCAAGCAATTCACAAAGCAGAGCGCCGTTATGCAACCTTCCTTTTCCACAACATTGTCAGATTCTTCTTCAAATCCACAAGCAGAAAGCTCAAAGAAAGATGTTCAGGTCAATAAGGATGAAGTTCAGGATGAAGACAGTGACGACACGTTTCAGGAGGCGGAGAGAAATGACGTGGAATGTTCACAAACTGAGGGGAAGAACAGAAGGGGCGCAGAAGAGGAAACTTTCCAGCAAGAACATGAAGAAGACGAGGAAACCTACAAGGATCACGTGAGAGAAGACGGTGCAGGTGAGGGAAAAGGGAAAGATAAGGAGAGTGGAAGTGAGGTGGGGAACAACAAAGCGGAGGAGGAGGGGGAGGAGGGGGGAAGTAAAGTAAGTGAGAGTGTTTCTGTGGAGGATGAGGAAGAACAAGATAATGAAACTGCAAAGGAAGATGGTGAGGAGGAAACAGCCACCAGCATCGAGGAAGAGGAGGAAGGAAGTGAGAAAAGTGAGGTCAAAGAAGAGGAGGAGGAAGAGGAAGAAGAAGGAAGTGAGGAAGCAGGTGGAGAAGGGAGTGAGTTTGAGGAAAGTGTGGCATCAGAGGAGGAGGGAAGTGAGGAGGAAGAAAGTGAGGTGAGTGAGGATGAAGAAGATGAAAGTGGTGAAGAGTCAGGAAGCAGCGAGAGCAGGGAGGAGGACACTTCAGCATCTGTCTCGGAAGAAGAAGAAAACAAGGAGGAGGAGGAGGAGGAGGAGGAGGAGGAGGAGGAGGAGGAAGAAGAAACTGAAGATCAAAAAGATTCGAGCGAAAGTGAGAAGCAGGATGATGCCAGTGTTCAGGAGGAAGAGGAAGATGAGGAGGAAGAGAGTAAGGAGGAGGAGGAAGAGGATGAGGAGGAAGAGGAGGAGGAAGAGAGTAAGGAGGAGGAGGAAGAGAGTAAGGGGGAGGAGGAAGAGAGTAAGGAGGAGGAGGAAGAGAGTAAGGAGGAGGAGGAAGAGAGTAAGGGGGAGGAGGAAGAGAGTAAGGAGGAGGAGGAAGAGGATGAGGAGGAAGAGGAGGAGGAAGAGAGCAAGGGGGAGGAGGAAGAAGAGGAGGAAGAGGAGGAGGAAGAAGAGAAAAAGGGGGAGGAGGAAGAGGATGAGGAAGAGAGTAAGGGGGAGGAGGAAGAGGATGAGGAGGAAGAGGAGGAGGAAGAGAGCAAGGAGGAGGAGGAAGAGGATGAGGAAGAGGATGAGGAATTGAGTAAGGGGGAGGAGGAAGAGGATGAGGAAGAAGAGAGTAAGGAGGAGGAGGAAGAAGATGAGGAGGAAGAAGAGAGTAAGGAGGAGGAGGAAGAGGATGAGGAAGAGAGTAAGGAGAAGGAGGAAGAAGATGAGGAGGAAGAAGAGAGTAAGGAGGAGGAGGAAGAAGATGAGGAGGAAGAAGAGAGTAAGGAGGAGGAGGAAGAGGATGAGGAAGAAGAGGAGGAGGAAGAAGAGAGGAAGGATGAGGAAGGAGGAAGAGGATGAGGAAGAAGAGGAGGAGGAAGAAGAGAGGAAGGATGAGGAAGAGAGTAAGGGGGAGGAGGAAGAGGAGGAGGAAGAGAGTAAGGAGGAGGAAGAGGAGGAGGAGGAGGAGGAAGAGAGTAAGAAGGAGGTTACAGAGGATGAGGAAGAGGAGGAGGAAGAGGATGACAAAGACATTGACTCTGATGGAAATGAAGAGGAGAGTGAGGGAAAAGGAAAGGCTTCTAATGTCAAACGTAGTGAAATTACAGCTAGCGAGGAGGAAGAGGAAGAAGGAGAGGAAGAGGAAGAAGGAGATGAGGAGGAAGAGGAGGAACAAGTCAAAGCATCAACAACAAAGAGCAAACTGAAGTTGCCTCCTGACAGGAAAGATAAACAACAGATAGAAACTCCCAAAGCAGCACCGAGGAAGAGGAAGATGAGCGCTGCCGGGGAGAGGAAGTGAGCAGCAGCTCGATGCTGAGGTTCTGCCTCAGCATCGAGCTGCTCACGTGAGTCCAGCGCTGTCAATGCTTTGTGTATTCTTTCTATCGTCTCCCATTAAAGAAAAAACCCAGCAATGCATCAGTCTGTGTCTTATACTTTATCACTTACTGTCTGCGATATTCATTTATCTTTCAAATGTGGCAAAAATAGATTGCCTTTTTCATTTTTACCACAGTTTAGGAGTGAGTATCGACGGCAGCATGTGTTGCATCACTTGCATGTTACTAAAACTAAACTACAATGCCCACGTCCCAGATATAAAGGAACCCACAGTGAGAGTGAATCCTTATGTTTTGTAGAAGAAAGTTGAATTGCTCTTCAGTAATGGCCTCACAATGGACCGTTTTTAACAATATTTGTGATCAATACCAAACCACACTAAAGGCTACATTTATAATGACAAAGCACATTGTCCTTGGGTAGAAATCAAAGTTTTTAAATGCCGAAACCTTAAAAGAATTCAAAAATATATTCCAAGAAAACACCAGATAAGTGCAAGTGTGGTTGTGTAAACAATAGTCAAAGAAAACAAAAGCCAGAGACAATCGTAATCCGAGATCATCGACCGTAACACCACATCAAAGTGTCCAATCCTCCAGATCCAGGTGAGCAAAGATGGAGTCACTGTTTCTTCACTTGACCCCTGATTAATGTCTAATTGTTGGCTGAGCCTCCTCTCTATAATTACAGCTCAGGAGATCCTCTCATTCACTTTATCACCACACACAACACGCCTTCCCTTCCTGTTCCCGTCAGTCAAAGAGCTCTTCATGTGTGGACTCGCCCCCTCGCACTCTGCTCAGGGTCAACAACCTAACATCAGCTTTCATCGACCCCTGCAGTGTCTTTGTTATTAACAGAATAATAATCAGGTAGACTGCTATGCAAATGTCAAGACAGGATTGATTTCATTAATGTAACTTCAAAACATTTCATTTGAATAGCGTATGAAGGAAACAACATGCAGGGATCCAACTTTGAGATCCAAAACACTGTTTACTGGACCATACTGTGTGTTTTCATGTTGTTCAAGTACGTAGTTGCTCAAAATATGAATAACAGAAACAATTATTTTATAACAAAATCACATCCTGGTCAAACGTTGATTTAATTTCCTCTTGATTAAGAAACAGTTAAACTACATGACCCCTTAGAAAATAGACATTTTTGTAGCCTAATATTAATTTTTATGATTTTCTTCTATAGGCTACAGCTAATTACTTCATAACTCTTAAATGTATTCATCTTGAGACATCGGTATGAGGCCTCGGCCCCTCAGTCTGGTCACCCCTAGTTTAATTTACAACATTGCAAAGTATCTTATAAACAGTTTGTGCAGAAGCTGCAGTAAAGTACTGTAAATAAACTTGAGTGTATCGAAGCAGTGTAACTAAAGCAATTAAGTACAATACATACTAGTGACATACTTGCACTTAAGTATTTCCATTCTGCTATTTAGCATAATAAACATTACTAATAAATTATTGTACTGTTGTAACAATACTGGGCTACACTTGTTGGAGTATCTAAGTTGGCTCCACATTGCCAAACTGTAAAATGAAATGTTCTTATACATTTGTTATGAGGAAAAACAAAATAATATATAATTAAATAATACAACACGTAATTCTATATACTCCATACTGATAAACCCTGATTTCACAGGCTACTTTTAGTGCATTTTCCAGTAAACTTCCTTACTGTTTAAACATTTTAAATTAAGTGAACATGGTGTTTCTATTTTTACTTAAATGAGGGGTCTGAGTAGCTTTCTTCTTCCACAACCGAGAAGTAGCCCAACTACTAAGCACCTCAAATTGTAGGCTCCTTGTGTAACTAGTAGCTGTGGCCTAAATGGTGTCTACTGCTGAGTAGAGGGTTTACAAATGAAAACTGGGGTTGATTTGCATGATTTTCTCTTGCGGTGATACTCGGGTGGATGTCACAGTTTACCCACAGGGGCTGGCGCAGCCTCTCTGGCCCGCCTCATGCCGTTATCCTGGCCTGGCTGTTTGGTGAATCCTCCCTTGTTTCTGGAGCGAGAGGCGGGCCTTTGGGAGGCAGGAATGCGCTGGAAGTCTTTGCCTGCTCTCCCTCCTCACATGCTGAAGACTCCCGCTCCTCGACATGGACATGTGGCCGCTGGTGCTCCTGTTCGTGCAGCTCTGCCTCTGCTCCGGGTATGAAGGTAAGGAACCAACAAAGGCCCTCATTCACCCCCTGGACAGTATTAACACTGCTGGGGTGTCAAACCGTTTTTGTATTCGATTTTCTGGTGGAAAAGCGTTATATCTCACTTATTTTACATTAAACTGGTTGTGTTGGTATTGTTTTTATGACACGTGTTTGAATGCATGTGAGGCTTCTTATCCTACAGCTGGTTTTTGGTGAACTGCGTTTGTGTTTACGTGGAGGGGGAGGACAGCGGGGGGGGGGGAGTGCAGTGTGCAGTGTGCATCTGGGGGACGTTTCTGTGCACAGAGCTCAGTCTGTGCCTGTGGCAGGCTGCTAATGAAAGCCCTGCAACTGTAGTGTAAGTGCTATGTCAATCTTGCCCTTTACTTATACTTTCACAAGAACAACCTATTCATCGCCTCTTTGGTTTAATCTTATATCAAAGAGAACCACATCTTTAAAATGTTCAAAGTATGTTACTGAAAGAGGTGGGAAGTAACTAAGTACATATATACTCAAGTACAGTAGGCTACTTAAGTACAATTTTGAGATGTTTGTACTTTACTTGAGTAGTTCCATGTTATGCTACTTTGTACTTCTGCTTTACTACAATTCAAGGGTCAATGGTGTACTTTTACTCCACCACATTCATTTAATACATGCAGTTACTTTACAGATTTGTATAAATGATGTAAAATATAATCAACACTTAAATTAGACTTTAGTTACACCTGGAGTAAATTAACATGGTACCCTGCAGTATACAGAGTCATTGAAAGCTGCACCTTGCATCAATAATTATAATCAAACATATATTATTCTGAAATTGCCCAATCTGCATAATGAGTACTTTTACTTTTGGTACTTTAAGTATATTTTGATAATAATTTTGTAGTTTTACTTTAGTCACATTTTGAAAGAAGGACTTTTACTTATAATAGAGTATTCCTACACTCTGGTAATTATACTTTTACCCAAGTACACGATTTGAGCACTTCTCCCACCTCTGGTTACTGATAAGTTTCTGTTCTGGTGTTGAGTAAACACCAATCACTGACACAAACACACGCACACCCTTAAGTGGAGCAGCAATGATACGTTGATTAATCATATGCAGATCATTATTTTGAGAATTGATTAGTTGCCTGGGTCACTTTTTCTAGCAAAAAAACCCAATCTGGTTTCCATTTTTGTAATGTGAGAATTTCCTGTTTTTGTTTTGTTTTCCATCATATTATTTGAATATCTTAAAGCTTTGGACTGTTGGTTGGATAAAAAAAAACAAGACATGTTATTATGTTACCTAAGATTAATTGGGATAGGCATTTTCTAAATGTTCTCCTCTTTTATAGAATCATTAATAAAGTACTAGTTGAAAAATAACTGTTGCAGCCCTACAGTGAAGAATAGCATCCAATGTAAGAAAACATTCTCCAGATAAACAGGGCCCAACAAGAGCTGGCCAGTAGCCCGCAGTGAGGAGCTGAACTGACCTCAAAGCTTGTGTGTGTGTGTGTGTGTGTGTGTGTGTGTGTGTGTGTGTGTGTGTGTGTGTGTGTGTGTGTGTGTGTGTGTGTGTGTGTGTGTGTGTGTGTGTGTGTGTGTGAGGAATCTATTCCTAGCTAAAGTATTACAAGCCCTGAGTATGGAGAAACACACTGTAGTAATAGACAAAGACAAAACATAAAGAGAAGGCCCACCTACAACATGAATTTAAGTTGTGTGTGTGTGTGTGTGTGTGTGTGTGTGTGTGTGTGTGTGTGTGTGTGTGTGTGTGTGTGTGTGTGTGTGTGTGTGTGTGTGGGGTCACAGTGGTGATGTGCCTGTAGATGGTTTGAGAGTGTCTCACTGCTGTATGATCATCATGCAGGCTGAAACATGAACACATGCTGCAGAGCAGATTTACACTGACACACTAAAAACTGCCTGTAGCTGTCAGTAAGGACTCTGATCTGGTCTGTACTTGTGTTAGGGTGAGTGTGTTTATGAGGAGTTTATTTTACAGTGGTGTGTTTGTTTGTTCTAGTGGTCAATTACCCAAATGACTTGTTCAGCATGCCTTGAAAATTGGGTGGCAGTGCACAAGAATAACTACTTTTGGGTTCTCTTTTAACAATGGAAATCTTTTGCCTGAGTTCTACTTTGCTTCTTACACTTAATCTTCCTCTACAGCGAGTATACTTGAAAGCCTGATCACATTTTCCATGAGGATTCTTGTGCTGATGTGAGTTAGGGGCAGATAAATCCTCCACACACAGGGAGCCCCTTGAGGAAATGCCAGCAGGCACCATCACTCTGGAGAACAGTCACTGTGAGTGTTCAGTTGTGTCTCTGCCAGGAGATGAGAAACACTTCACAACAACGTAAATCCTTAATAGTCACAAAGAAAAAACAAATAAAACAAATCAGAAATTAACTGTAAATCAATGAAAAGCAAAGTGGGTATTTACCGCTCTGAAGTGCATTCAAAAACACTTATTATTGTTATATAGAGGACTGCAGTGCACTCAGTACAACAGTAAAGTAAAAGCTTGTTTTACTTTAAACTGTAAGAAGATGAGAACACAACATGAACACATTGTCACAGTATATGAAGTTTATATGGCGAACAGTTATCAAACAGTGCCTTTTTAACATCAATCACACATACAGCAACATATGTATCTGGGGTGTGATGAATTTAAGTCCAATATTCATCCTCCTTTGAGCTCTGTGTTCAGTATCCCCCAACTCCAGAGCGAACATTTGTAGCTGCTAAATGCTACACCGTTTCACCACAGACCTTTTAGCTGAAAAGAGCTGCCTTATTTTGGAAATGACGCTGGTTCGAGAGTGTGTGGGCTTTGAGCTAAAAGACAACGCCATCATTTACAGTCGATTCATCTTCCTGAGCGATCCCTTTCACATAAAACATAGTCATTTAATCAATCGATTTAAAAGTGCAGCTTTCAGTCCAGACAGATAAATGCCACATTCACAAATCACCACCATAATGAGTTTCTAATCTGAAAACTGAACACTTTTATAGATTCATAATTTCAAATTAACCCTGCTAACAACCTAGATGCAATAATAATACAGTAAGATCCAGTGAGCTATGGGTTCATCACTATAACTAGCAACTGCGGTCCCTCATTGCAAAGTGTTATTGGAGTTAAAAACAGCATCAGTTTGAACCTCAGGGCCAGAAATTGATGATGTGATTAAAGAACCAGCAGCAGAAATGTTGGTTCACAGATTTAATTGGACAGAAATCATTAGTGCACTAAGAGGAGTTACATAACCCTGTTATACTGCTGTGTTGAATTGAGCGATAAAGAAATGACATTTATTGTTTGCTCTCTTCTGCTCCGATTGCCTTTAGCTATTCTTCAAGAGGAGATGAGCATCCATATAATGACAGTTTATATTACAGGCCTGCAGAGAAAGACTAATTGGAATATCGCGCTCTGTAATTTAAAGGTTCATTCACTCCCAGAAGCTTCAACGCTTCCTGCACTATTAACATTTTGACATCTTTCTTGCTAAGATCTCATTTGAAGTAGATGAGCAGGAATATGAAATCACTGCCGATCCCACTTCAGCCTTCAGACGAGTCTCGTATCATATTTTCTTTTCTTTGGTTTGTTTGAAACTGGAGTGCTTTTACGAACAAAGGCCAAGCCAAACCGAGTCAATTTAATCTAAATTGAGATGCAAAGCTGAAATGCAGTTTCAGGCCCGGATATTCAGTCCAACCTGCGTCACCTGTTGGCAAGAAAGTAACTGCAGCTCTTTTTACAAAATGCTGGCAAACACATTAAGGATGTGTCAAGGAAAAGTGGATACGTCTTTAGTTCTGCCTTGCTTGTTATTGTTCACATGTTTCCTGTTCAGGAGTGAAATAACTGTTGTTAATAGTTGGCCTGGATGTGCCCATGGAGGCTGGTGTGGCACAATGATGTACAATGTTATTATTTTAAGATATGTATAATGTAGTTTGAGGCCGTTTCTTACCCGGTTAGAGTGGTATTGATTACAGGCTCCTCTGCTTAAAGGGAATATCATTCATCATGGATTTCACATCAAACCTGATCTTTTTTATATCAGATCTAATGCTCCTGCTCTAGGATTAGGACTTTCCTCTATGCATTCAAGTACTGGATTTGAGTGAACTGAAATTAAATAACAGGACAGACTAGCAGTTCTTAATGGACATTATAGATAATATATCCTACCGGAGAAAGCATCTTATCATCTTACTGCATAAAGGTGTCTGCAAGTTTGTTGCTATTCTATAGCAAGGGGCTGTTTCTCTGACTATATAAATCATACTTTTTTTGTGTTTATTGTAGCTGTTGACAGGAGTCTATCAAGTTTTATAGTCTGGTTAAGTTAAATTGTTATTACGATACATGACTTAGCCCCTAAATACATAAAATGTGTCCAAATCTTAAGCATTATAACTTCCGTCTGAAAAATGTAAGAAGTAAGTCACATTTTTGTTAACACTTGCCAGCCAATCACAAACAAGGAACTGCTGTCTCTCATGGTGTAAATTCCTGTGTTTTGTTTGCTTGGAATGGCTGTGAGTTGTTACAGAACTGATCAATTTTCTGCTGCATTTGGATTTAAATAATGCTCGCTTTGAAAGGGAGACACACACACACACACACACACACACACACACACACACACACCTCCCTCCCTCTCCCCATTAGGAAGCAGACACTGAAGTTTTCCCAATAGGCAGCTCAATCTGACTCACTCAGTATGTGGGTTTGCTCGGTACAATTCATGCGGTGTGATCAGACTGCTAAAAACCTCAGAACTTTTGTGTGTGTGTGTGTGTGTGTATTAGACAACTTTCGGCATTTTGGTCCAGACAGCTTTAATTAAACTGACAGAAAAGCCATGATTGTATAGATATTGTATTGAATGTAGGGACTCTTCAATCACAGTATCGGGTTCAATGGCCAACATGCGGCTGATACATGAAGCTGAAGGAGGCTTGAACACTCGTCCCTTGTGGATCCTGAACAGAGGACACATTCACACCGGAGTTCATAACACCCCAGGGCCAAGGTTGAACACCCTTCCCCCTACATTAACCCCTTCCTCACCTGTGTCCTCTTTCATTTTTGTTTTTACTGCCTCCTGACCCCCTCCCTTATTCCTGCTTTCCTAAAATAATCCCCCCTTGATCACAATTCCTCTCACGTATGTCTTTTACCAATATCGCTGTGCCCTCTTCTCAGCCCCCACTGAGAAATATTTCAGTTCTCCTTGGATGCTTCTGTTTTATTGTTGAAATATATATTCCCTCAGTCTGAATGCTCTGTGCATTCTTACAATGGTAAGTATTATCTATGGCGCTGATTTGGAAGAAAGGTTTCAAAACCAAACAAATAAAGAACAAAGCAAAAACAGCATACTGCATTGAGCAGAATGAAACTTTGTTTTGAACAGATTCCTTTTTTCCAAACCAGTTGGAAAGGATTGGTCTTTTGTGATTTATTCATGTGCATGTAGTCAGTCCAAAAGATCCAGATCCCCCACTGAGTCTGGTTCAGATTAAAAGTTAGGCAACATGTTTGAGCCTGTTCTTGGTGATCAAGGTCAGTCCAGGACAGTGCTTTCAAACATTGCCTAACATCTTGGATGCAGCTCTTTTTGCCGTGTTAGTTGCTTTTCTTCCTTTCTTTCTTCCCCAGGGTCAGGACAATACGCCCATGGAGACGACGAGAACTGGCATTCTCGTAGATATAAAGGTGAATGCATGCTCAGTTTGTCGATACATACAGTACATGTATTCTGAAACGTGACTCCATATCTATTCAGAGACTGCTTATCAAAGTAACTATGGTTTCCTATATTGTCATGCAGACCAACAGAGTTATCCAAGTTCCTCTAGTCAACAGTCAGAATAAAACAGCAGTGAGAGCATCATTATTATTTCAGAGTAAAACTGACTATATCTGCGATGATCCTTTACAAAACAATTTAAATAAAATCTTTCAGATTGGTAAACACTTTGCACCCAAACCTCCCTCCACAGCTTTGAAAGATCAGAAACAGAAGGTCAGAAGAGAAATAAATATATTGAGAAAAATGTCAAGAAACACCTGTGACCTTTTAAATTCCCCTACTAGCTGCTAGTAAATCCCACAGTAGCAAAAAGTGTATATATGTTTTCCCCAAATCAGATAGGAGTGGATTCAGAAGGGATGTATTTTGATTATGTACTATTAGAGAATAACAAAACAAATTAGAATTGTATTAAAACTTTTATTTGATCGTGTCTTTTAAGAGGTATAATCAACTCCAGGAAGTTAAGCCAGTTTTGTTACGGCAAAGCAGCCTCCAGTTTATATTCGGGGTCAGTTAGACACGGAACATTATCGTCCAGGCCAAACCAAACAACCCTTGTGTAAAAGCTCACATTTTATTTTCTCGTACTCCTTGGTTGTGGAGACTTGGCCAACACAAAGAGAGAGAGAGAGAGGCAGCAAGGGGAGGTTTGCTGTGTAATGAATAGGCTACTAAATATTTTTCCAACTGGAAATTAGCCTAAACTATTCTCTCCAACTGTGGGCTTTGTGTGTGTCGGTCTACAGAATGTTTGTCCTGAGCCAGCATGAAATAAACTGCAGATTTGGATTTCACTGTATTGGAATAAGAACCATGCGGCCCCTCAAACTTGGCTTGAAACAAGGAATTTATACACACGCTTTTTAGAGATGGGCAGGAGAGGAGGAGGAGAAAAGTAAAACTGAAACGCAGTTATCTTATTAAAGTATTAGTTTATAATTTTGGAGAAAAAAACACTTTCTTGATTATAAATTGATGAGAAAATAGATACCACTATCTGTACATAGAATATCTCATAACCATACGTGTTAGCTTAGTTTAACATGGCTGAAGATTGAGGGAAACAACTAGCCTGGCTCTGTCCAAAGGTAACAACATTCATCTCTAAAGGCAAGGCAAGTTTATTTGTGTAGCACAGTTTTAACACAAGGCCATTCAAAGCGCTTTACAAAAAATGAGACTGACTCTGTAAATGACATTTTAAAATGCTTAAAAGCAGTAAGCAGTGGCAAAAAGAAAGGTCTTTGCCCTGGATTCGTTTATAGAGAGTAGTGACATTTGCGGCGGACCTGCTGTTTTCTGCTAGTTTGTTCCACATATATAGAGCTTTTTAAAAAAAACGCTGCTTCTCCATGTGTAGTTTTGACTCCGCGGACAGAAACCAGTCCCGTCCCAGAAGACCTGAAAGTTCTGGATGGGTCATAATGTAAGAGAAGATCAGAAATGCTCATAAAACTTTTTTTAACCAGTCATATTTTTGCTGGTAGGTGAATTTTGTTACCTTTACAAACAGCGCCAAGCTTGTTACTGCAGCCTTGTTACTGCAGACTGACCGGCTGCTGCAGGGTAGCTTCAAGTAAACTCTACAGATAAAACAATATTACCAGTCCCCATTTTTTGGACAGACCTAATCGATGGAACAAAATCTTTCAGCAATAAAGAACAGTACTTTTAACACACACCGTAATCTCACTCTATCACACTCACTGTTAAACTTAAGTGCTCTCTTCCCATCATTATCTGGATTTTTTACAAGTAAGAATATTGTCTATCTTCATGAGACACTGTTGGACTATGGAGAGTAGCAGATAAGGTAACAAGAAATCCTCCGTATCAGTCTGAACTCAGAGGATGGGAGGGTTTCACATTTTAACGCTTATATATAAAGGTCTAATGTTTAATAGTCCTCAGGTAAGTGCTTATCATTGAATACTGATACTCTCTCACTCCAAGGCTGTGCCATAAAAAACATATACTGTACTTGCAGCAAAGGAAAGGTCAGAGCAGCTATCTTTCCTCTGCTTTCAGGGACACCGTGGTGTGCGCCCATTAAGTTGAAACATGGAGACGTGAGCTGTCGCGCGCCTAGAGGAGAACACTACAGGAACGTGATGGGGACTCGCTGTAAAATCCGCTGCAAGCAGGGATACGAGTCCCAGAACTCAGAGGTGGTGTGTATGGCCAACAAACACTGGTCCTCTAACTACGCCTGCCGAGGTAAGAACTGAACACACACACGTCTCATGCAGCACATACTGGTTTTGCCTCATGTAAAGTAAAGTCAATTCTTACATTTTTGAACGAATTCACACCGCAGCAAAAATAGCATTTCCTGACTTTTTCCTTCACCGTTGGACTTAATATAACTGTCTTTATCGTTACTTTATTGGCCTAGAGCTTACATTTTTATGAACAAAAAGTGCATGTAGTTGAAGTTCAGGAACTCTCAAATTAATGAATGTTAAAACATAACATTTTGAAACACTTACATGGGTCAATTTATTCCACGTGATGCCTATTTATTTTTTATTTAAGGGGACCTATCATACAAAATTCACTTTTGTACGTCTTTTATACATGATGTGTCCCCGGTGTGTCAGGGAACTCACCAAGAGTCAGAAAACACAACCCTCTCTCTTTTCCTCCATACCCAAATCTTTTAAAAACGGGGCTGCAACGGAGCTGATACAGATTTGAATTTTTCTGACGTCAGAAAAGGGGTGCTCCGCCTATATAGGCAACTCTCCACCTATCAGGGGAATGGGGGGTAGGGCCACGGCCATTGCCGCTCGAAAGTGCTGGAGACACTGTAGTACATATGCCAGGCCTGTAAGTGGTGCTGTAGTCTGCCACAAAAGCAGCGAAGAAGACTTCTCACAGAATCAGCCCCTGCAAAAACAGGGCTGGAAAAGAGCAAATAGAGCGAAATGAGGCATGGCTAGGGGGG